TCGGCAAAAATATAGAAATTAAAAAAATACATGTTTTTTATATGTAAAAAATTTAGAACGAAAAAGGGAGTATCGGTAAAAAACAAAAATTAGTCGTTTTAAATGAAACACTCTAAAAACCACCCTTTACTTATTATTGCATAACTACTCTAAATTTAATTTAAAATATATAAGTTTCAGAACAGTCCATAATTTTATTATCTACATTCTTAATAGGCTATAAAACTTGTATTATCGACATATATTGTTTACGTCAATAATAAACTATAAGTACAATGTACTTATTATACATTAAAATAATCACCGAAAAATTGCTACAACTATTAATAAATATATTCCATAATAGCGTTTTATTAAGATATACTAAGCAAATTAAAAGGGCGTCGTATAGAAAATCTGAACTATAACACAAAATAAATTTATGTAGGTTAATTGTCGTAAATATTCAAACAAACCTACATGGGTTTAGTAACATATACTTAATTGCATAAGGTAAAGATTTGTAGAATTAAAAGTGAATTTATAAAATTTAAAACGGCTTTTTCATTACCTAACACAAAAGGCAAAATGTGTAAGTATAAGTTTCGAAAAATTTTAAAACCTTAAAATAACTCTGCTACTAAAACCTTCCCCAGAAACTTTTAATGGACCACAAATATGAAACACTCTGTATAAATACTACTTTATTTAAAATGACACTTTTTACTTCCTTTAAGGTGCTTTGGAAATATCTACTTTTACATTGCAATTTTAATACCAATTATTTACAAATATGTTGACACCTACCATTGAAACGTTATAAAATAAATTATAGTTAGTTTATTAAGATAGCAAATATCATTTGCACGCAAATCATAAGTGGGTATAGCAAACAAATAAATTACACTTTTTATGACCATTTTTATTTATATTGGTCATTTAAATTGGAATAGTTAAAAGGGTATTTATAAAAGCAATAAAAGTAATGATTGTATTTTGAATAAGACATTAACATTTTTATGTATTACATCGGGCAGTGTATAAAACAATAAAAAGTAAGTACAGCACGTTTGCAATTTTAAGTGAATTTGAACAGGGCAGCATTTTTAAATTATATAAATTACTTTACAAGTATTTTATTACATTTTAATGTTAAAATGCCAAGAATGGTCAACGCATTTCAAATTAAAAATATTTGAACAAGGAAACGTGAGACTTTTTTAAAGATTTTTAGGCGATATGTTAAATACAAGATTTTATCGAGATTTTTAAGGCTTTTTATAAAATTTTATGTTTTGTTACCAAATATAGAAATATTTAAATAGAAAATAAAAATATTTACAAAAATACCAAAATTTTATATTTACTTGGCTTATTGATGGGGAGTATTAAAAAAGCCTCCTAAAAAGGCACTTTAAAAATTAAATAACTTGAAATAATTTGAAAAAATGGCAAAGGAAATTTTGTTTTGGATTTTCTCAAGGAATCGACCCCTCCCAGCAAACTCAACCGTAAAGGTTCCATAATGACCCTTTATAAACTATAGTTAATGACCCTTTATAAACTATAGCCTTTATTTAAATAACCTTTAATGAAATAAAGGCCCTATAAAGGCCAACTCTAATAGAACTGTACATTTAATTTAGTGAGATGTGGTAGACTCCCCTAACCATCACGTGAGATTTTAGCCATTAAACTTTCTTTGCGGACAACATGTAAAAAAATGATTAAATTTAAATTATAATACATATTTTTTAAACTCAAAAGTTTACGTGAGATTTTAAATGACCCCCCTACCTTAAAATGAGATTTGGTAAGATTTTGCTGGACATATTTTTGTTTCACGTAATTAATGGATGTCCCCTAATAAATACTTTACTTATCCATTACATTAATTAATTAATTATCGTGAAATCCTAAATACTAAAACAATTATAAATTAAAAAGAAAAAATACAAAGCAATGTGTTGTAATAAAGACCTGTATAAGTAAAACATAAACATTTTATTTTATTAACTGTTTATTAGGGAACAAATGGAATCCATAATATTTAAATAAATAAGTTCACTTGATTTTTTTGGTAGATTGTCCTCTATAACAAAGAACCCAGGTTTTCTATGCCATTATTAATTTCTTTTATTTGCAATTGCCCCAATTTTGACCTTATCAATTAAACCTTTCTACTAAATTCTTTGGCGGTATTTTGTCTGTAATAATAAAGGGTGATTGATTTAGACCTTTTTTTTTAATTCTAAATAAAACGCATAAAATGGAATTGTTTGGCGGAATCTTTATTATGACCTGAAAGAACGATCAATGACATTTATTTTTTTTAAATAATTTCATTTAAATGCTGACCGCGACTACGGCGTACGTGGTCCATTCGGAAGGTCCAATTTTCGATCACTCTTTCTAGCATTGCGACCGGTATCTGCCCAATTACCCGAGTAATGATTTCTCAATAAAGCTATTGTTTCGCGCGCTGTGTGTGCCGTAGCTCCGTCTTGTTAAATCAAAAGTCTTCGTCGATAATCCAGCTACGATTCAGGACCAAGAAGCCAACATTAAGCTGGGTCTCCACCAAAGCAACATTTGTCGGCGACATGGTTACCAAAAGTTTTATGTCGCAAATTGAAGTCGCCCACTTTGTTTCGTTTCTCGTCGAAAAGAAAAAGCTGCCCCGCGACAATGTTTACAGATAGGTCGAAACACGTCTCCATCGAATTAGATGCGATTGGTCATTCGTACGGTGTGCCGACAGTAATGAAGTTTGGTAAGCCCTTTACCCAAAACCTACTGTTTCTATTTCTAAGAGCAAGCACATAATTTAAAAATTTTAAAATAGAAAATAAGTTGAACATGGTCTAAAATTTTAAATTCTTCAAAAGTATTTAAAAAATAAGACAAATATTTTTAAAATACAATTTTGGTTTAATTTTATAATCCTTATTATTTATTAAATGATACACTATAATTAGATCCACGCCGTTTCACATGTTGCTAAACACTAAATGAGTTAACTTTTCCATATTTAGTCGATAAATAAAGTCGGTACCAATATTTCTTTAGTGGGACAACGTGATATTTCTCGACAATGCTTATGAAAATAGCAACAAAAGTTGGTGACAATGTCGTTGTGTTGCTTTGGTGGAGACCCAGCAATGCAATGCAATGCTAGAAAGAGTGATCGAAAATTGGACCTTCCGAATGAACCACGTACGCCGTAGTCGCGGCCAGCATTTAAAAGAAATTATTTAAAAAAAATAAATGTCAAAGATTGTTCTTTTAGGTCATAATAAAGATTCCGCCATCCAATTCCATTTTATGCATTTTATTTAGAATTAAAAAAAAGGTCTAAATGAATCACCCGTTAGTTCAAAAATTTGTAAAATTAAAAATGCACTTACTTACTCATTTAAATTTAACAACCATTGGGTATTATTATTTTTGTATGTGGTATAACACAATATTAAAACCAAAGGAATTACACTAGTGTCCAGCTGGGCTAGGGGTGTCAATCCCGAGCCCATTTTCCAATCCCGGGCCTTTCGGGACCAAAGGTAACTAATCCCGGGATCCCGGGATCAGTCCCGAAAAAATATATATCATTAATTTTAAAACCAATTTAAAATAAAACAACAAACAAACTAACGAACGATATCTTTCGGACTTCACTAGTTGGAAAAATGGTTTTCAAGAATTCGTAGGCACATTGTACCCACGTTTACCCCCATTAACATATAATTCCATTTCTTTTATTAATCGGGCATTGGTGAGTTCCAATTGGGGCTGTAACTTACATTGAAATTATCAAGTTTGTGACATTTTTTCAGGTTTGACGTTTGAAATATGTTATATTATAGGTTATGTACTTACATAAATTTATTCTACAGTGAACTGTAATTTTAAATTTTCTTTGCTGATTTTATGCTATAGATGGAACCACTCTTGCTATGTAATTTTAATGTATTTTCATTATTGTACGGCGGTGTATAATAATTTGACTTGAACTGAGTAAAACAATGAAGTGTTTATATATATGCTTATGAGTATTATAATATAAAAAATGTCATACGCTTAAAAAAAGTCTATTTTATTCTTTGTAAACCATTACTAAGATCCCGGGATTGGGACTTTTAATCCCGGGATTTTCGGGATCGGATTTTTTACGGGATCCCGGGACCCCGGGATTTCGGGATCCCGGGATTGACACCCCTACACTGGGCGTCATTTTTAAATTATGGCGTTAACCAAAGGATAATAATTATCTTTAATTATTAAAGGTTCATGTAAGTTACAGAAAACATTTGTCACTTCAATGATTTTTTAAAGTCCCATTAACATGTTTCTCAAATGTAAGTATTTTGTAATAGTTTTGTCCTTTTTAAGTAAATAGTTTTAAAACAATAAAATAATAATAGGATAACCCTGTATCAATAAAATATTTCTTTTTCTTTTTAGAGCTAAAAATGAGTCAAAATTGATTTTTTTACACAAACTGTCTGAAAATATATCTGGCAACCATGTCAAAATCGGATCACTTATTTAATTTGTTTCCATAACAATAATTTTTATTTATTAATATATTTTTTTAATGTGTAAAATTTTAAATCAACTTAAATATTTTTTAACGTTTATTTTAAGCAAAAAACATAAAAAAACCAATATAAAATATGCAACCAAAAGGATGGAAAATAAAAATATTACTTTTGTTTTTGATTAAAACAGGTTTTTTTATAAAAAAATAAATTTAGCACAACATATTAAACAATGTATGTGACCAAAATAAAGTAATATGAACCCAAAAAAAAAATCAAACCAGTAAATTTGTTGTTTCAAAACATGGAAACAAGATTAAAAGATAATACACTCAAAATTAAATTTAATCAATGTTTTATTGTTATTTTAATCTTATTTCAATTCAGGTATAAATTTATAGAGAAAAAATTAAATTTATTTAATTTAAATCGAAAGCGCATTCACCATTATTGCAAAAATATTTTTATTTGTACTGTACTCACTTTGTCTAAATAACTATTTGTACCCCCAACCAAAACCACCACAAGAACAAGACTCCACATCGCGACCTGCCACACAGAACACCTCAAATCACTTTACGAATATTCCATTTGAGAAATTAATAAACCAAACTTTTCTATCAACATTCGCGATCAGTTTGTTTTCATTCATAAGTGCGATAGCGCACGTGCTCTCGCCGATGCGACGGCGACTTGACGATGTTTCCGTTCCAAAGAGTTGAGGACAACTGCGTGAATTGCTTTTAAGAGGATGGATCGAGGCAGGCGACACGGGATGCAGCCAGCAAGTCGTACGGGCTTTGGTCCGCTGCAACTTTTGAGAGGGGAGGATCGTACTAAATTTAAGTTTTGGTTTGTTTTGCCCGGCAAAATTTGCCAGATGATTGCACAAAATAAAGGAAGTTTAATGACAAAAGATTAAATCGTTGATCCGATTTTTTAGCGATATTAATTGTTAGATAAAAAGGATAACAAAGATTTTAAGTATAAATTGGAATTTCCAATTGGAATTGTATATATTTATAAATCAATTCTAAGAAATGCAAAACAATAAACATATCCACATTAATAAAAAAAGAAGTTTAGCCTTTATAGCATTTATAGGGCCTATATAATATAGGCCCGGGCCTTTAGTTCAGTAAATGCACGTTTATGAAGGGCCAGTATTGAACCTTTACGGTTGTGTTTGCTGGGAATACTTATTACCAGATTTCAATAAAATATGTTCATTATGTTAAAAAAAACTTCAAACCTTGTATTTCTGAATTTTGATATAAGTTTATTGAGAAAATTAATATTATTTTAACGTTTTTTTATTGATTCTCAAATTATTAAAGGTTGCTTTTGGACCACTCTGTATGTAAAAAATAAAATATAGTATATGTAATTATTTTTTTGCCATGTTGGCTTCTAATGTTGTTCCTTTGACACAGATCATTTATCAAATCATAATGCCTAAGTAAATATGAATTTAGCGCATCCGACATCCCCTTAAAATGCCTTATAAATGCATAATGCACAAAACAAATCAAATTTATGTTATCCCAGAACAAACACTGGATTTTGGCAAACAATAAGCCAGGTCAATAATATAACAAAACCCTCGGTGAGAAAAAACAACTTGCCTACCTTATATAAAAAAGGGTACATATAATTAATAGGTATAGCTCCCATTGTCTGTCTGGTGCGATCCACTAACGCTGCACGGAATCTGGTTTTCAAGATGTCTAAACGTCAGGACCTTTTAATTACCTATCATGAAAAGATACTTTTTAAAGATACCTACTTAAGATAATAGATAAATGTTTACATATACACTAATTATGCGTTATAACCCTATAGGTGTTAAATTAATGTACCCACACGGAACAATTACATCCAATGGATATCCAATGGATTTCTTTTATGGATATCCAGGATATACATAGGATATCCGGGATATCCAATGGATAACCATTGGATATATAAATGTCCGACCCTCCTGGACATAGTGTGGATATCCAATGGATACCCAGTGGATATAGTATTGTATGCAATATGGTTGTAATATGTATTCAATATGGAGATTGTATGGATATCCAATGGATAACCATTGGATATATAAATGTCCGACCCTCCTGGACATAGTGTGGATATCCAATGGATACCCAGTGGATATAGTATTGTATGCAATATGGTTGTAATCTGTATTCAATATGGAGATTGTATGGATATCCATTGGATAACCATTGAATATATAAATGTCCGACCCTCCTGGACATAGTGTGGATATCCAATGGATACCCAGTGGATATTGTATTAGTATTGTATGCAATATGGTTGTCATCTGTATTGGATATGGTGAATCAATGTATATTTACTTTTCAATAAATATCATTGGGTTTTAAAATAAAAGTCTTATTCTTTAATTTAAATATTTATTTTTATGAAAACATAAAATAGAACAGAAAACTACATATAACTAAAGAAGTGAAGTCTCTGGCTTGACATCACTCCTCCAGCTATCATTTGCCTTTTTATCAGCCTAATCATTTAGGGCCTATTTCACCTGTCTCCTTATGATCCCCAAAATTTGGCCAATCCATCAGCCCATTTGTTACCCTCGAGCCTATGTATAGCTTGCAAATAAAGGTACGGTATATAAATGCATGCATGTATTCACCTTTAATGTTTTACCTTCAATGCTAACCGAAAGTTTATAAATTGCACTTAAATATACCTATTTAATTTAAAATTGTATTAGTTTTAGACCAATACAATTTAAAATGATAACTATGATTAGAAAATTAATAAAATATTCACTTACCACTAGAGACCTCAAACAAATAACCACAAAACACAATAACTTGGCAATAAACTTTATGACAAACATATAACAAATAGCAATGATGGCGAATGAACCTTTACAATCTGTGGAATGAAGCAAATAAACATGAAAACCCTTTGGATGTACCTAACAATCATGGCATCATATTTAACGGACGCTACCATAGAAAAAGGACGCTTCTTTATCTTCTGTGTTCGGCAGCAGTCACTGCTGAGCAGTGTTGTCAGACGTTTAAATAATTTCAGAAAGCTCATCAAAATGGCGGTTATATTATTAAATCTTTAATACTTAATTAATTAGTATACCTAGTATACCTATTTGACATAAATGTGGTGAATAATTATTTTAAATTTATTTAATTTATTTATTAAAACTTAATAAAGTACGTAAATATATTTCGTTTAGTTATTTTGCTTATAACCGGCAACACTGAAGATTCTCAAATTCAGCGCGTGCGTAGTACTATGAAATACAATAATAAACAAAAGGGACTTTTTTAAGTAATTTTTTATTGTATTGCAGACTGTCATAGTCATATTATTAACAGAAATAATATTATTAATATATAAATATTATTATCTGGGTAAAGTGAACATTTCAAAATTAAAAATTTCGTAGCTCTTGGCAAAAAATCAATTTACCGTAAAGTTGTTTTTTTTACATATGCTAGTTTAAACCATCACAAAATCCCACATGTATACATACAAGTATATATACAAGATATCCATATCAGTTATCCACCGGATATCCAGTGGATATACATTAGATGTACAGTGGATATACTTTGGACATACATTAGTTATCCATTGGATATATATTAGAGATACTTTGTTGAAATTGGGTTAATAACGATTTAAATCATATTTATTAATCATTACATAAATTTATCCTATAAGGGGCTATTTTAACAAAGAAAAAAATATTTTTAATGTTTTTGTTTTTTTTTTGAACATCCAGTATGGATATCCATTGGATATCCAGTGGATATCCAGTGGATATACATTAGATGTACAGTGGATATACTTTGGACATACATTAGTTATCCATTGGATATATATTAGAGATACTTTGTTGAAATTGGGTTAATAACGATTTAAATCATATTTATTAATCATTACATAAGTTTATCCTATAAGGGGCTATTTTAAAAAAGAAAAAAATATTTTTAATGTTTTTGTTTTTTTTTGAACATCCAGTATGGATATCCATTGGATATCCAGTGGATATACATTAGATGTACAGTGGATATACTTTGGACATACATTAGTTATCCATTGGATATATATTAGAGATACTTTGTTGAAATTGGGTTAATAACGATTTAAATCATATTTATTAATCATTACATAAGTTTATCCTATAAGGGGCTATTTTAAAAAAGAAAAAAATATTTTTAATGTTTTTGTTTTTTTTTGAACATCCAGTATGGATATCCATTGGATATCCAGTGGATATCCAGTGGATATACATTAGATGTACAGTGGATATACTTTGGACATACATTAGTTATCCATTGGATATATATTAGAGATACTTTGTTGAAATTGGGTTAATAACGATTTAAATCATATTTATTAATCATTACATAAATTTATCCTATAAGGGGCTATTTTAAAAAAGAAAAAAATATTTTTAATGTTTTTGTTTTTTTTTTAAATCCAGTATGGATATCCATTGGATATCCAGTGGATATCCAGTGGATATACATTAGATGTACAGTGGATATACTTTGGACATACATTAGTTATCCATTGGATATATATTAGAGATACTTTGTTGAAATTGGGTTAATAACGATTTAAATCATATTTATTAATCATTACATAAATTTATCCTATAAGGGGCTATTTTAAAAAAGAAAAAAATATTTTTAATGTTTTTGTTTTTTTTTGAACATCTAGTATGGATATCCATTGGATATCCAATGGATATCGTAAAAGGCATGGATGTTATATGGACATTGGGATAGCCATTGGATATCCATTGGATAGCGTGTTCTGTGTGGGTAGGTACAATAAAAAACGCTTAAAAATGCAATTTTCTTAAGGCGTTCTTTATTTACGTTAATTTAAAACCTATAGTCTATAAAACCTAATTAGTGTATGTCACTTTAAAAAAAAAATTAAAAAAAAATCTTAAAAGGTAAGAAAAAACATAATTTTTAAAAAACATAGGTTTTTTCTTACTTTTTTACCCTTCTAAAGGTACTCCCAAATATTCAGATTTTTAAATTAATTTTTAACATGGGCCCAGACCACTTATAAAAAAATTTTTAAATGTAAGAAAAAAATATAATTTTTATTTCAAACTAGGTGTTTTCTTACCTTTTTACCCTTCTAAAGGTACTCCCAAAGATTCACATTTTCAACCTGAGCCCCGACCACGTGGTAAGTACTTAAAAAAAATCAGAAAAATTCCTTAAAAGGTAAGAAAAAAACATAATTATTATTTAAAACAAGGTTTTTTCTTACTTTTTTACCCTTCTGAAGGTACTCCCAAAGATTCAGATTTTTAAATTAATTTTTTATCCCAAGCTCCGACCACTCATTCATTAAAAGGTAAGTAATAGCTATTTACATAACATGGGAGGAAAGTAGTGCTTTTCCTCCCGCGAATAGTTTGATGCCCGACGCGAAGGGCATTAAATATTCAAGGAAGGAAACGCATGTTCCTCCTGAGGTATGTATACAGTTTTACAGTGTATATTTTTTTCTATTACCTTTTAACGGGTTTAAGACATTTTAAGCGTTCCAGTTCCTTTTACTAACCCGGTATGGGGCTATAAAATTATGACAAAATATTAAGTAGGTGTTGCGTCGCCGACGTTATGTTGACAACGCTTTGTTGCTATGGTATTTTTGGTAATACAAACATAACAGTTTTTATAAGCTGTCAGAATGTTTATTATCTATAATGTTTATCATATTATCTATGATGTTTATCATAAATTTAAAATTCTTCCTACGTTTTGAAAATGAGTTCTAGCGAAGAAGACCTGCCGCAAGATCTTGCTAAAAGGCAAGAATAATTGCAATTAATTTCCTTCCTTAAAAATCGAAAGAGCGATATGAAAATGAATATAGTTTGTTAAAAGAATGGTTGGACAAGCGCGGAGTAAATCTTTTTCTTACTACCTCGGCTGAAAATACGTTGTTTCGTCCCCGATTCCACTGCAGAAAGTTAAAATATAATTTTTATTTCAAACGAGGTTTTTTCTTACTTTTCTACCCTTCTAAAGGTACTCCCAAAGATTCAGATTTTTAAATTAATTTTTAACCTGAGCCCCAACAATAAAAAAAAAATTCCCTAAAAGGTAAAAAAACATAATTTTTATTTCAAACAAGGTTTTTTCTTACTTTTTTACCCTTCTGAAGATACTCCTAAATATTCAAATTTTTAAATAAATTTTTAACCTGACCCATGTACAAAAAAATCAGAAATATTCCTTAAAAGGTACGAAAAAAACATAATTTTTATTTCAATCAAGGTTTTTTCTTTCTTTTTTACCCTTCTAAAGGTACTCCCAAAGATTCAGATTTTTAAATTAATTGTGTAGCCTCATCTTCATCAAATTTTAAAAATTGTGAAAAAGTAATATTATTTTTACTTCCAAAAATAACCATAATTGTTTTCGAGATATTGTAAAAACATATACGGTGGGCCAACGGAAAGTTTTCTCAGATGTTACGTAAAAAAACCGCCCACACAGATCAATTCAATTTTAGGGGGACAATATATTTTAATAATTTTAAATGGTTACCCTTATAACCTAAAATATATATATTTACCCCTAGAGGTCAAGAATTACCTTATTTTGAAGCCTATCAAGTCCCCACATTTTGGTATATTAAAGTCGGTTGGTTTCTTTCCAATATATTTGAGAAAAACTTTTTTTTAATTTATTTTTGAAACGCGCGGTTGTTTTGAGTGCCATTTTGGCAATTTTTATTTGTTTGCGTTTAATACAATAAAGTAGATAAGTAGTAGATAGTAGAATAAAGCTACACAATTTTGGACGAGTGATTTGATTTTATAAAAATACGTCACAAACTTATTTTACAAAACTTATACTGTAGATGGTTGGGTGTGAAAAAAACCTGTAAAAGAACATGGTAATCTCATTTATTAATGATTGGAACATGAGTTGTAGTTTAAAATTCGAATAAAAGTTGGTCAATTAAGGACTGGTCACTTTCACTGGACAAATCGGCCCAACTGTCTTCTCTGTTGTCTATTCGAAAATCCATAATGTCGCCTAAAAGTTGGACATTTTTCTTATCTAGATTTACCGGAAGTTAACGTCAAATTGTTAAGGGCAAAAGTTAAAAGTTCAGCCATCCAAATTTAGTTTCCTTTGTGATGATTCGTAAAAACACGTTCAGAAAACATTAATTATGATAATAAATAAATGAAACAATTTTTTTTATAAATACCTTTTTATTTATTGAATTTAAATTCAAGTAACTATCTACGCCTAAATTATGTACATTCTAATAGAAATTATATTTAATTATAAAAATACGTCACAAACTTATTTTACAAAACTCAGAATGTAGAAGGATGGGCATAACAAAAAAACCGGTACTATTGCACAAGACAACGTAAAAACTCAAAATCGTCAAAATCGGTAAAAGAACATAATAATCACATTAATTGGTGATTGAAACATAAGTTGTATTTTAAAAATCAAATAAAAGATCGTCGATTAACGACTGATCGCTACCACTGGACAAATCGGCCCAACTGTCGTCTCCTGATCCCGAGCTGATGTCATCGTCACTATCGTCACTGCCATTATTGTCGTTGTCGTTGTTATCGCCTACACGCAAATCCAAAATATCACCTAAAAGTTGGACGTTTTTCTTATCTAGGTTATCGGAAATTTACGTCAAATTGTTTAGAGCAATGTTGAAGGTTAGATAAAATTAAAGAATAAGAAAATTAAATTTTAAATAAGAAAATAAATACACAAAATAGAATAATGTAAAGAAGTTAATCATAAAAAGACTTAAACTTCGCGCACCACCTTAGAGGCGGTATGATCTACAGACCCCCCAGGAATCCCTGAAAATTGTTAAAAAATTGTACCTTCATTTTTAAAAAGATCCTATCTTTTTAGCCAAGATGTAATAGATAAATTAAAGCTCAACACATCAAAAGCTGATGTTTATAAACCCAAAAAGTACATAGGTGCTATGTGTACATAATAAGATGCTCTTTAAAAGTACAACAATTTTTATACAACCTATTTTTCGAATCGTATATGCTTAAGATAAGCATCGCGCGCGCCGTCTGCTGGCGCATTATTGAACTACAGGGTTTGTTAAAAGAACATCATTTTTAAATAACTAAGTTTATTCACAAAAGAGGAACGCAAAAGTCTTACTCGACAAATTTTGTTGACAAAGTTTCAATTGCGCAGCTAAATCGCGCACGTTAAGCCTGATTTATATATTGCCTTCCTTCCTCCCGTAAAAGATGAACAATACGAAAATCGTAGTTCCATTTATAGATTCCCGTACGGGAATCTATAAACAGCACAACTGTTTTTGTATTGTTCATCTTTTACGTGAGGAAGGAAGGCAATCTATAAATCAGGCTTTATTTGTGTTTCGCGTTGCGAGTAAAAACTGAAAACTAAAAACTAAAAACTTTGGTTTAGTCCTCGATTTCGATTATTATTCCTCATATCATTAATTAAGAAACTCAACGCTTATATGCTTATATACCTACGTTAGTGTGTGTATTTTATTTAAGTGATCATGGTGAATTATTGTTTTTAATTGTAATTATTAATCAAGAACTAAATTGTTGCATGTTCATGTTCTGCCAAAGGATCCAATTCGGTTAGTTTAGAGTTAACTAATTATACATTTACCTAATACCATTTATATTTAAGTTTGGACATTTTTAAGAAATCTATCAAAAATAATAGTTGTACGAACATAATCTTAAAATCAAACATTTTTATATTTTAGTCCTCTACAAAAATACAAAATATATTTACGAATTGATGGGAACATAATATTATATATAATACATAATATAATACTCGTTTCTGTTTTTTTTACCGTTGAGTGGAGACTTTTTCAATAAACTTAAATAATGTATAACGTAATTAATAAAATTAATAAAATGTATATTTATTGTATCTAATAGGTACAATTGATATTTACAGGGACTTAACCCAGGATTTCCTCTCGAAAAACACCCAACACAACAAATCGTTCCACGTTTTATTTTTTCGATATTTTTAACATTTTCCGGCTTATTCTCAAAAAAACACTCGTTTATAACATACGCGTTCGATAGCTGATTATTAAAAGTTTTTTTACAATTGAGGAGTGATTTTTCAAAAGGCCTTATTTCTATTTTTACTTGAATGTAATTTTTTGACAAAATCCCAAAGGTATGGTTAAAAGGCATATATTAACGGCGAAATATGACAGCAGGTCTGAAGTATTATTAAATATTCATCAGAATTTTTTTAAAAATAATCTATATTGCCCTAACCTATACAGGTTATAGTCATTTTTTTGAAAAATTGTTGCAAATGGAAATACGACCTTTTGAGAATCACTCCTCAATTAGGGTTTTAAAATTTTCGGAAAAATAGAAAAAACTGTTTTTTCCGAAAAAAAAAAACTGAAAAATTCGAAAATTTAAAAAAAAATGACTTTCATTTTTTAAATATTATTTGGATAGTATCCGTACACTGATATTAAAAAAAGTAAATTTTCGACGCTGATTATAATCAAATAATATTATGATTATAATAATTATTCCTTTTATTTTAATTCAGTAAGAATATTCTACTGGGCCGCAAAAAACATATTCGGTGCTATCTATATTAACATAACTTTTATTTAACACTTCGATTTATAAAAGTATAATTTTATAATTTAACTTAATAAATCATTCATTATTTTGTAGTTAGATATTTTTAATGGACTCCTTTTTGCAACAAAAAAACCCAACAGAGAGTATATTTCACGTTTACGTTCATTTTCTTAAATTTAATTTAATGTTTAGTTTTATTTTTTTTTGTAATAAAGGATTTTTGTTTTATTTAAAATAATGTTAAAATCCTAAAAAAGTAGATTTTTTCCCAATTTTCCAAAAGTCATATTTTTTAATAAATAGAGTATTTTTTGCCTTTTACGGCAAAACGTTTAAAGTAAAATGTAAAGGTAAAAGTTACGGGTAAAAGGTCCAGGTAAAAGGTAAAGGTAAAAAAGATTTTTCTAGAAAATTTATAAAAAAAGATTTTATGAATTTATCCAATAAAATGCATGGTTTAAAAGATATAGAGCATAAATGTAACTGTGAAATTTCGATAAAACTAATTAATTTACTAATAGTTGACTGTAAAATTTGTTAAATGCTCTATATCTTCTAAACTATATATTTTATTGTATTAATGCATAAAATTATTTATGTACGAAATTACTGCACATTTTTGCAAGTACTTCAAAAGAGCAACCAATTATGTACAAATCACACCTATCTCCCCAAAATAAGGAAATTACAATTTTCTTGTTATTTCAATGGAAAAACTTTAAAATCTAAATAAAAGTACGAGTAAGATTAAGGGCTGAAACTTTAAGGGCATTTTTTTCTCGCTATGTACATCAATATTTTGCTTGGGAAATGACAAAAAAGAAATGTCCCTTCCAAACGAATCACCATAATACATTTAAAGTGTACATCAGTATCTGGTAGAATGTTCATAATAACAATTGCCCAGGTTTATTTAGAATTATTGTTATTGGTTGTTAAAATAATAAATATTTCTTAAGTGAACCGAATTTAAATTGAAAATTTTAAAACATAAAAAATCTATCTATCCATGACCATTTTTATATCTAGTTCCCCCAAACAATTTGACGTAATTTCCGAAAACAAAAAGAAATCAAAAACAGATAACTCACCATCATTATCCGAACCATCGGATCCATCGCTACCGTCGAGGTCTTCTTCCTCCTCCTCTTCTTCTTCCTGCGAAAAAGACAAAAAAAATAATAAAGAACCTGAAAAAAAAACAACAAATAAACATTACCTGTTCATCCTCAGCATCCCTCCTCCTACCGACATCGTAAATCCTCACCACCGATTCCTGAACACCCTGGTACATCCCCTGGTTTTCGACGATGGCGATCTGAGTGTCGAACCGGTTCACGGCTAAATCGTAAATGTTTCTTTTCACGTCGATGGTGGCTAAAACAAATACAACAGGATTATAATAATAATAATAATTCATTTATTTGCCCAACGGAGTAAAACTCCAATAACAGAACAAAATATATAATTAAAGTTTACATTTCATTTACTAAAAATAAAACTAATACTAAACTACAAAAAAATCAAAAATAAGTCTTTGCCACCCTAATAATATCATTCAAACTAGTAAAAAACAAATCACAGTCATGACTTATACAGTTATAATTTCTTGACATGGTAAACACTGGTGATTTAATTAAGGTTATTGTTCATGCACTGTCAGAGTAGAACATATCACTAGATCGAGAATTAGATTGGGTACATGAATATTAAATAGAAATAAAATGTTGGCCGAATCAATTTGGTTATTAAAAAGCTTAAATAAGAATTTAAGACCGGAACAAGCTCTCCTGCATTGTAGGGAATCCATATTAAAGCGATCTAACAAAAGTTGATGATTTATACCTCTAGCGGGGTAAATGTTATCTAAACGGAAAGCGAGTAATTTAAGAAATTTACGCTGAACATTTTCGAGCATGTCAATATAATTGTTATACGAGCCCTAACCACAAAATGTTCGGACACTTTATAATTTATACAGAAATACTTTTCGTGAATACTATCTCAAAATTATTAGAGGTTATGAAAAATTCAGCTCATTTTAGCATATACCCCTCGAAGCGATTTTTATTTTTAAAAAGTTTACCTTTTATTTTTAGCTTTTAAAAAAAGGCTAACTTTTTAACATTTTTTTGTATGAGTAAAAAAAGTTATAAATGGACCCATTAAAAAGAGCATAAACTATTATACAAACCCTGAAAATTTGGTAAAAAATAAATAAGTTATAAAAAAGTATAAGTAATTTAAAAATGCTATTTTTAAAGAGTTTTTGCAATTTTCTTAGGAAACGGGAGATTTTGCAGATATATATATCGTTATAACTTTCTTATTATTTATACAATTTTTACCAAATTTTCAGGGTTTGTATAATATTTTATGTTCTTTTTAATGGGCCCATTTAAAACTTTTTTTACTCATACAAAAAAAAGTTAAAAAATTAGCCTTTTTTTAAAAGCTAAAAATAAAAGGTAAACTTTTTAAAAATAAAAATCGCTTTGAGGGGTATAGGCCAAAATAAGCTGAATTTTTCATAACTTCTAATAATTTTGAGATAGTATTTACGAAAAATATTTCTGTATAAATTATGAAGTGTCCGAACATTTTGTGGTTAGGACTCGTAGTAGGGACTCCATACAATGGAACAATATTCTAGTTTTGATCGAACGATGCAAAAATATAAAGATATCAAAGCGAATTGATTTGAAAAACCGATAGAGTTTCTGCTAATAAAACCTAATAACTTGTAACTACTAGAAACAACACGATTGACATGATCAGTAAATGACAACTTGCTATCAATAGTAACGCCCAAATCATCAACACATTGAGTTAGCTGCAAGTTAACGTTATTAATTTGATAATTAAAAGTAACTTTTGTTCTCTTTAGAGTATAGGAACAGTATTTGCATTTTTTAATATTAAGTTTGAGTTTGTTGGAAATGCACCAATCATACACCCGATTTAGCTCAGTTTGAAGAGAGAGGAGTCGGAAGAGGGCCTTACCTATGCTCGTGTAATCGATGCTGTCGACGGTTTTGAAGCTGGAATCGAACTTGGAGTCGCCGTCGTTCAGTTCCTGCTCCATCGAGATCGCGTAGATGGCGCTGTTCACCGGCGAGAACATCACCGAGCACTGGTTCAAGCTCGGCACGGTTTTGAGGAGGTGGAACGTCCTCATGTCCCAGATTTCGGTGTTGGACACGATCTCGAGACCGTTCGGGTGGAAAACGCCGCTCTGCGTCTGGTTCAACTTGTCCAACTTGTGAATTTGTTTGCCGGAGTTCATGTCGAACAGAACTCCGTCGGACAGAACCAGCTCGTCGTTCGGGCTGAAGGTCGCTTTGTTTTTGGTGTACTGGTTGCTCACCGTCGGCACCAGTTTCATTAGTCTTTGATTTGTTTTTACATCGTAAATCTGCAACAATTAGTATTATTGTTTTTTATCCCGAAAACTTTGGTTTGGTCATTATACGCTAAAGAAGCATCGGGTTTTCGCGCCATCTGGTGGCGCTCGATAGCATTATTGGACTACAAGGTTTTTCATAAATTTAAAGCATACTAAATGCACATCATTTTTAAATAAATAAGTCGTTTTTTCACAAAACTATACAAATTTTGTTTGTAAAGTTGCAATTGCACAGCTTAACCGCGCACGTTATTTGTGTTTCGCGTTGCAAGTAAAAATGACAAACTTTTGTTTAGTACTCGATTTCGATTTTTGCCAAAGGATCCAATTAGGTACGTATATTTGTTGGTGCAGAATGAACTAATGAAAACTTAACCTAATATAATTTATATTTAAGTTTGGACATTTTTAAGAAATCCAACAAAAATAATAGTTGTACAAACATAACTTTAAAATCAAACATTTTTATATTTGAGTCCACCAAAAAAACGCCGACAACTGCATTTTAAAATAGTAAACGACAAAATATATCTTCGAATTCATGGCAACATAATATTATTTATAATATAATACCTGTTTTTGGTCTTACTGTTAAGTAAAGACTTTCTCAATCAACACTTTTAATAATGCATAAGGCTGTTTGAATTTACACGAATTATTTGTTTTATTATTTTTATACTGTGTGACCCATTTGTTTGCGACTCAAAAGTTGAAAGGGTTAAATATTTACAATTTTCACGAAAATCATTAATAAAATGTGTATTTATTGCACCTAATAGGAACAATTGATATTTACAGGGACTGTATGCAATTTATTTCTTTACTCTGATTCACACTGTTTATTGTAAATCCGCTAAAACTCAACCCCGTATTTCCTCTCGAAAAACACCCAATAACACAACAAATCGTTCTACAATATTTTTATAAATTTTTCGGCCTTATTCTTAAACATTTGTTTGCAACATTCGCGTTTGACAGCTGCCAGGGCCACCAAGATACATACACCTCAAGATTTTAAATCGTTAAGGTGTATATGACGTACGTTTCGCTTATCTAGTGCTAAACTTCTGGTTTAAGCGTTGTTCTTTGTTGTTAACTTGCTCTGTTTTTTTGTTAAACTTGTTTTTGCGTTTAATAAGGTTTGAATTACTTTTCAGTCTTTAAATTATTGTTATTGCGTTGTGTTAACCTGCTAAACTTATTGTTTTTGTATTGCGTTAACTTGTTTTGTTTGTGTTTGAGTTTTTATTATGCCATTTGCATTTATTAAAATGCGGTGTGCCATATTTGGATGCAATACATTTTATTAGATGTTAATAAAATTTAACAAAACCAAAATTCGCAATACAAAAAAGTCAATAACTAAAATTTTTATATTGGCGGTTACAACATTGTTGCAGCATAGCATTCAATTACTACTATTGCACCCTGCATTGTTGCAATTTTGTTACAATTTTTGTATTTTTTTAATAATAGTATTAAGTTCATTTAAAATGGTATTAAATATTTTTGGTTGGTATTTTTAATTTTTTTTCATAATAAAAAACTAATTTAAAATATAGTACAAAGGGTGAAAAATATTTTTGATATTTAATGACAATTTGAATTTTTTTTATATTTTTAATTTATTGGTATTTTTTACTGTATTTATTTAAATAAAAATTAAACATTTTACATTTTATATTGATAGTGTAAAGGCACAAATATGAAAAATACCAAAAATATACAAAACTATTAAGATTAGTGGAACCATGCAAATTTAAATTTTTAGATAAAGTTTAAACCCCTTCGCGCCCCTTTAAAAATTTTATTTTTAATTTATAATATTAACAAAAGGTACAAAATAAATTAATACAAAAATAAAAATTCACAGGAATTTATTAAATTTTTTCGTGCTTAAATTTTAATTATTGTAATAAATATGTTTGGTTAAAATTAATGTTTTTTCTTTTAATAACAAAAAATACATTTAAATATGTAGAATTAAATATTTTTCCAAAGCATCTAGCATTTATATTATTAACACTATATTGTAATGTATTTTTGTTTAAAACAAATAATATTTTATAAAGCATCTTGCATCTAGGTAATTAACAAATATTGTTTGTTGAAACTATTGTTGGTATTTTCTTTTCATAATAAAAAATATTTTTAAATAGGATCAAATATTTGTCCAAAGCATCTAGCATCCACAATATAATATATTAACACTATCTTCAATATCAAATTTAAAAAAAAAACGCACTATGTCCAGATATTTCTCTATATTCTTTGATAATATTGTTATTATTCGTGTATTCGCGCGGCTACTACTCATCGAGTGACGCAGCAAGGACGAAAACTCGTACAAAAAAGGATTTCTTTGAGATAAGAGAAGATATTGTAAAAATTTTAAAAGGATCTTGAAGATCAGTTCAATTTGTAATTCAGCGCAAACAAACAGTTTCACAATTTTGTAGAACTGGGTTAGTATTTAAGGGGCAAGTTACTTACATTGGCAGTTTCATTTTTGGTACCGATTATTCTGTCTTGTTTTACTTTGCTAAATTCGACGTGTTCTTCTTCGTTAAAAGGTATTCTAAAAACAAAAAGAAATTTACCTTTTTGTAGCACTCTCAATTTTCCAAGATTATTAATAGCTATTTTCGTGGAGCTAATCCCAGACATCCTAGGCATGCGCTTTTTAAAATTTGGGGTTAAAAATGTAAAGTGCGCACGACAAATGTTAAAATGCGCATGCCTAGGATGTCCGAACTAGTTCGGGATTAGCACCGCGAAAACTCCTAATAATAAAGTTCGCTTACTTCATGTCGTATTCCTTCATGCCCCACAAGGCGGACACGGGCCTGCCCCACGTGGTGCTTGTCAGAAGCAGCTCCCCAGTCCTGCTGGGCTCCAGATGCACGACGTAGTTGTCGTGCGCGGTGAAGCTGTGCTCCTCGGCGCCGGTGTGCCTGTTGTAGATGTGGATGTCGCCGTTGTAGCCGCTCACGACCAGGCTGCGGTCGCCGGGCATGAAGCGCACGCACGTGAAGAAGCCCTCCTCGGTGTTCGAACGGATCGTCTGCACCGGACAGAAGCGCGAGTGCACGAAGCGACGGTCCATCGTCTTCGATTGGTAGCCGATCGCGCGCCGGCCGCATCGCAGCGCGAAGTTGTTGGCGGTCATAATGCGCGGCTTCGGGTCCGGGCATTTGTGAGGTCTGGAATTTTTTTAAGGATTGTTAATTTTTTTAATCAATAACACCTTGTTTTAACAATCCAAATTAAGATTTTTGAGTTTTAAATTATTTTTCGATACAAAATCAAAACATATTTTATTGGTATAGTTAGTTTTGATTTACGTAGTGAACAAAACCTAATTTTTTTAGGTGGTCATAATTCCTCTCTAAACAATGGGAAAGCATTTCTAAAATCTAATCTATGCCTAGAAGATGTGCTGAGGTTTTAAAATCTTGGGAAGGACGTTCAAAAAAGTATTATTAAATTTAATTTTTTGCTAAATTTTCTTAAAATAAAAAAGTTAAAAATTGTTTGTTCTTTATTTTTTCTAAAGTATAGTACACCCAATATATTTTTAAATTTTTAAATTCTACATAAAATTCTGCCATGTCCTATACCTATATAAAGTGAATAGTTTTCGAGTTATTATTTGTTTATCGTTAAAATTTAACAAAAGCGCGTCATTTAAAAATAGTCTATACTTTTTTTGTTTTTAGGTTTGCGGATATAGGGGTGGAATTTTTTGAATCTTAAAACATTGTTTAAAAAACTCCATGACAATTCTTTAACATTTTTCAGGAAATTGCCCAAAAAACCCAGGGCAAATTACTTAAAAAGTTAATATCTTTTTTATTTTAAATGTAACACCCGGTAGATTTTTAATCAAATAGTAAATTAAAAAATGTTTCGATTGATGATACTATTCACTATACCTAAAGTTAATAATTTTAGAGATATTTAACAATTTATAAAATTTTAAATATTATTTTGTATCATTGTTTAAAATTTAATTACGCTAATTTTTTCAGGTTGTTGACTAATTACGTGTTTTGTAAACAAAATAACTAATAAAAAAACACTTATACTTATCGGCAGTAAAGTAGAACTTCACTGCCGATTTAATACGAGTATTGTATGTAACCCATTGTCAGTGTTGTAACGTATCTAGTTACAAGTAACTAGATACAGTATCTAGATACTTTTTATGTATCTGTTTGTGTAACTAGTTACTTATCCCAATCTAGTAACTATAACTGTAACTAGTTACAAATTCTAAGTAACTAGGTGTGTTAAGATACAAAGATACATTTTTAATTAAACTGCGACTATTATTTATTAAAAAAAAATATTATAAAAAATAAGTTATTTTAAATAAAATATTATAAAAAAAATAAAAATAATAATCTTAAAGTATCTAGATACTTTTTGAAGGTAACTGTATCTGTAACTAGTTACAGCAAAAAATTATGTATCTGTATCTGTATCTAGTTACAAATTTTGGTAAGTAACTGTAACTGTAGCTAGATACTGAAAATATTGTAACTGTTACAACACTGCCCATTGTACATTTTAAGATGTGTCCTCAGCAGCAACTAAATGATATTTTTTTTAAAAGCACCGTCGCGGAGGTCGATTGGACCCTTGAGGGTGAACACTAGGTTCCAAATGAAATTTAATGCCTATCGATAGTAATTAAATTACTAAAAAGCTAATATACATGTGCCAGGTCTGAAGGGGTTAAGTAATTTCTTGAAAAATGTTAAAGAATTGACAAGGTATCTTTTAAAGAATATTTTAAGGTACCAAAAATTCCACCCCTATATACGCAAACATAATAACGACAAAGTTATAGGCTATTTTTTATTGACGTGCGTTTCTCAAATTTTAACGAAAAAAATTAACATCTTCACTTTAGGTATAGCACATGGTATAGTAAATTTACTCAGAATTTTATGTAGCATTTAAAAATGTAAAAATATATGGGGTGTTCTATTTGAAATAACAAAGTTGATGTCACTTCCGGTCAAACCGAAAGTGGTATTTTGTTCAAAATATTTTAGAAAAATAGACCTAATTGGATTATAAACTCTTTAAATATTTCAAATCGATATCTTTTACCGTTTCCCCTCTGTATATGTAAATACACATTCTAGAATTTGATCAAATTTTAAGAAAATATCGAAATTTTAAAATATTTATATTTGGAATATTATTCTTAGTTTCTTGGAAACACATTAGTTTGAGTGGGTAATGTGTTAATTATTCATGAATGTGACAAAATGCCATTTAAAGCAAAAACGATATTTTTTTGTATTCTTTTTAATGAGGTTTTAAGAAGTGATTTAAAATAATAGCCCAGCTTTAACCTTAAAAACATAAAAACCGAAAAACAACAATAAAATTGTTTTCATGTTTTTATCATGCCGTAATACTCGGTGGTATTTATATCAAAATTTTAAATTTCCCACACTAACCACAAATCAAACATAAACACGACGTTCAAGGTCATCCAATGTATGCAGTCATTCAACCTGACTACGCTAGATTGTTTACGTGTCTTTTTATCTACATTAATATCCTGTAAATATACTAAAAACCTAATATAAAGGACGAACACCGTCATTCAGACCTAAAGCTTCTTCAAAAATGAACAAATCGCGCGACAAAAACACCGAATACAACCCGGTGCAGCTTGAGGAAGACCAGTTCGGCCTTTACGCTGACAAAACGACGGGGGAATCCGCGTCTGTAAGAAAATTCACCTGGAGAAACAAAAACAATGTGGTGGTGCAGGTGATAACTTATGGCGCGACCATAACCAGCATCAAAGTCCCGGATAACAAAGGCCTAGTGGAAGACATCGCCTTGGGTTTTCCTTCTATGGAGGGTTACACTGCTTCAACGAATCAAAACATCGGATGCACAGTGGGTAGAGTAGCGAATAGAGTCGGATACGGACAGATTAATATCGACGGTACGATTTACAACGTTTCGGCGAACTTGGGACAACATCAGCTACATGGAGGATTCAAAGGCTTCGACAAGGTCAACTGGGATTATCACAGAGACGGCACGAAAGTTGTAATGAGTCATCATTCCCCTGACAAAGATGAAGGCTATCCAGGGGATTTAATTGTTAACGTAACATTTGAGCTGACGAATAATAACGACTTTTTGGTCGATTTTAAAGCCTACACCACCAAACCAACGTTCGTTAATTTAACAAATCATTCGTATTTTAATCTTGCTGGTCATGGTAAAGGAGCGGAAGAGCTTTACAAGCACGTGGTTTGCATTAATGCTGATCAAACGACCGATGTAGATGAAAACTCCATTCCTTCAGGTAACTAAGCTACTATACTTTTCAAATAAAATACTTGGGTAACATTTTTAAGGGAAACTTCTTTCTGTGTCCGGAACGATTTTCGATCTACGCATCCCCACGGTTTTGGGCGAGCGCATCAACAAAATCCCAGGCTATTTGGGCTACGACCACAACTTCTGCATAACGAAAGGCACCGACCAGGGAACCACCTACTTCGCCAGAGTGGTTCACCCGCCGTCCGGCAGAGTTTTGGAATTGTACAGCAACCAACCCGGCGTGCAGTTCTACACTTCCAACCACTTACCCGAGAAGGGCAAAGGCGACAGTTGCGAGAGCGATGCGAAGCATTTGGTGAAAGGGAAGGAGGGAAAATGCTACTGGAAACACGGAGGGTTTTGCTTGGAGACTCAGAATTATCCCGATGCTGTTAATCACGTAAGTAGAATATATGGAATCACAATCATTTCTTGAACATTATTTGTTACACTCAATAGAGTTTATCGAGAAAGTCAAAAGTTACACTGCAAGACAGTGAGTTATTAGTTTCATTTGACAGGTTCCTTTTTCCAAATGTCCCAGTACCACTTACATTGACTTATCTAGAGGATTTACTCAAAGAAAATAGTTTTTTAAATGAGACTTTTGCTGAATACCCATCAGCCTGTATGCGGCAAAACTGTTTTCAAGTCAACGGTTGCTTCTATAAACAGCACGAAGGGACTAAAATGGGGAACTCCTTGACTCCCTTTTTAGCCGATATTTTCATGAGACGCTTTGAAAAGAAACTTAATAGCTCGTGGTATTTTCCTAAGGACTGGTTACGTGGACGATATCTAACGCTTGCAGCTTAGATGATTTTGTTTCCAAATTGTATAATTGTATTCCCTCTATTTAATTCACCTTTGAATTGGAAAAAGATGTTGAGCCACCATTTTTAGATACCCTCAATAGATAGATAGTCTCAAGTTCGATATCTCAGACTCGAACCACTGATAGGCTGATAAACTTTCGACTTAGTAATAGTAGATACAAGAAAGAGTTCAGTTTTATAAAAGACATTGCTAAAGATAAGTTAAGATAAAGATTTTGAAACATCCCTAGTAGATAAGTTAGTAAATAAAATTAAATTTAAGTCTCGCCTTTCTAGGTTAACGACTTTTCAAATAGAGCTAACAGAGCCCATAAAAGTTTATGACTATTCCTTTCAAACCCCAGTACCCCGAGGTCTGGAAGGGATTTTTCGAAAACTGGACTTCAAAATTGCTTTTAGTTCAAGCAGCAACAGACTTCAGACCCTTTTAGGCAACCCCAAAGATGCCAACATCGTTGGCGAAAAGTACTTTAAGCACTTTGTGTTTTGTTTTTGTGGTGGGAAATATTTCTAATATTTGTTTTTTATTTGTTACAGACAAATTTTCCGCCTGCAGTTTTGTACCCTGGACAAACTTATCATCATACCGTTGTCTATAAATTTTCTGTCATGAACTAAAAATTGTTATTTTAAGTTTAATCAATAAATATTAAAGCAGGAACTAAAAATTGTTTTAAACCCTGCACCACATACAATAACAAATAATCACAAGATTCAAGATAATTTAATTTATCTTATCAACACTTTCCATAAAATTGTTTACCTAGCATAACTATGTATATAAAACATTTTATTTTAAGTTAAAGATCGTTAACTTGATCCAGTACTATTAATATTTCCAAAATGGACAACCTAGTGCAGCTAGATGAAGATGAGTTCGGGCTTTACATCGACAAAACGACAGGGGATTCCAAGTCGGTCAGACGATTTACCTGGCGTAACAAAAATAATATGCAGGTGCAAGTAATTACGTATGGGGCAACCATAACCAGCATCAAAGTACCGGATAGTAAAGGTTTAGTGGAGGATATTGCTTTTGGTTTTACGTTTTTGGATGGTTATATGGCTCCAACAAATCGATATTTCGGCGCTACAGTTGGTAGAAATGCAAATAGAATAAAAAATGCTCAAATTAATATTAACGGTACTACCTACGATATTTCGGCGAACTTGGGACAACATCAGCTACATGGAGGATTTAAAGGCTTTGACAAGGTTAACTGGGATTATTACATAGACGGCACAAAAGTTATAATGAGTCATTATTCCCCTGACAAGGATGAAGGTTATCCGGGAGATTTAATTGCTAACGTTGCTTTTGAACTGACTAATCATAACGATTTTAAGGTCGATTTTAAAGCCTACACCACTAAACCAACGTTGGTTAATTTAACAAACCATTCGTACTTTAATCTTGCTGGTCATGGTAAAGGAGCTGAAGAGCTTTACAAGCATATTGTTTGTATTAATGCTGATCAAATCACTGACGTGGATGAAACTTCTATTATTACAGGTTAGTAAACATCACATTATCCCGATCGAAATAAAAAACAATTTTTAAGGTAAACTTCTTCCGGTGTCCGGCACGGCTTTTGACCTACGTAATCCCACCGTTTTGGGAGAGCGCATTAACAACATCCCGGGTAACTTGGGCTACGACCATAATTTCTGCATAACCAAAGGCACCGACAGTGGGAACAATTTTATTGCAAGAGTGGTTCATCCGCCGTCCGGAAGGGTTATGGAATTGTACAGTAACCAACCCGGTGTTCAATTCTACACATCAAACAAGTTATCCGAACAGGGTAACTGCGATACTTCAGCTTTGGTGAATGGAAAGGAGGGTAAAGCTTATTATAAACATGGGGGTTTCTGTTTGGAGACCCAGAACTTCCCAGATGCTAGTAATCACGTAAGTTAAATTTACAGTAGTAACGTTTAGTTTACGATAGTTTACCGATTTAAATCGACTTTAAATTAACTTATTTCTCTTTCTATACATATATTCTATGTGGTTTAAGGGTGATTTTGACCAAAAATTAAAAAAAATCTATAGAGCACTTTTTCTTATTAAGCAAAAACCCCGTATGTTGGACCCTTACCTTGCATGTGACTAATTCACTAAATATTTACTCATATTATATTAATTTTTTTAATTTTATTTTGTTCAGTATACGTTAAAACCTCGGTTAAAACTAACTGCAAAATATTATTTATAACAAAAAATTTCAATTTAATAATAGAAAAACCGTATTGTATTATTAATTTTTTAATTTTATTTTGTTCAGTATACGTTAAAACCTCGGTTAAAACTAACTGCAAAATATTATTTATAACAAAAAAATTCAATTTAATAATAGAAAAACCGTATTGTATTGTATTGTACAAAGTTTTATTTTAAATACATAATATTTTATTCAATAGCCTAATAAAATATTTATTGAAAATTATTTATGAGAAGTTTATTAATTTCTCTGATAAAAGAAACCCGTATGTAGAGAAGTTCAATCCTAGACATGTTTTTAGACGTGCTTTAAAATGATAAAAATACAAGGCGGCTGCTCCATTCCAAAACACAGTATCTAACATTTTTTCAGAACATGTTTTTTTATATTTTTGCATATACTTTATTAAAACGCACCTTCCAACCCGGCCTATTTGTTGAGGAAAAACACATAGCAGTAATATCAAAAGAATTCACTAAATACCCTACAGAGGCCAAATCAAAAAATTAAAACACGTTTTTCTCATAATTTTGTTTTTTACACAAACCTACTGTGTTTTAGAATGAAGCAGCCGAAGGGATTATACATTTAAATAAAAAATATCTGCATGCATAAAAGATTTTATCTATTTTGGTTTCATAATGACTTCATTATAACACCGCTTTTGGTTCTTTAATGAGGTACTTTATTCCACCCAAAATTTTGATTTTATAGGTTGGCTACTGGTAAAATACAATTTTGAATACCTATAGGTTATAATATTTTTATGATTTGTTTTCTAGTACTTACGAGACTTTTCGTGCAATAAATTTTGTTTAACACCAAAGAAAATCCTTTTTTCTTCTTTAACAGCCGCTTATTGTAAATACTTATTGTAAATTAAGGACGCTATAGCGAAAGAATGTGATAATGTTTGAAAGGTTAATGACCTTTCAAACTTCAAACTGAGATACCAACTATGTAAAGTAAAATTCGACCAAATTAAATATAGGGTATAAAATTAATTTGTTTTATGAAATGTTTGCAAAATAGATAAAATAGCATAAAGAACTCATGTCATAAGACCTTTTGTCGCACTTGTCCATTATAAATCGTCCGCGTGCGACAAAATGACGTCTTATGACATTAGTTCTTTAATATACTATTATAGGCGGCAATGCAACATAGTAGGCTTAGCCTAAATGACAATTCCGAAAAAAAGTATGGTTAACTGTCATTTTGAGTTTCTTTAGTGCTTAAGCTAAGTTACTAAGTGACTTTTTGCTTTAAATAAAATACAGTTTTTTAAGGGCGCAAAATACGGGGTTTTTTCTTAATAAGAAAAAGTGCTCGATAGATTTTTATTAATTTTTGGTTAAAATCATCCTTACGTCATATAGAATCGATGTATAGAAAGAGAAATGAGTTAATTTGAATTTGATTTAAATCGGCAAACCACCGCACCGTGGTGTATGTTTGTTGACAATTTTTTTTTGTTACAGCCAAATTTCCCACCGGCAGTTTTGTACCCAGGGCAAACTTATCATCACAAGGTCGTCTATAAGTTTTCCGTCCTAAACTAAATTTTGTTTAATATACACCTAAATATTAAAGCATTAATCAAAATTGATTTTTAATTTAACGCAACCACATACACAAAATGAATACACAAGATAATTCAATTTATCTTATCAATACTTCAGGTTGAGTTGTTTACCTGCGAAAATTTTATTTTAAGTTAAAGATCGTTAACTTCATCCAGTAGTAGTAATATTTCTAATATGAACAACCAAGTGGAGCTTAATGAGGATGAGTTCGGGCTTTACATCGACAAAACGACAGGGGATTCCAAGTCTGTTAGACGATTTACCTGGAGCAACAAAAATAATATGGAGGTGCAAGTTATTACGTATGGGGCAACCATAACTAGCATCAAAGTACCGGATAGTAAAGGTTTAGTGGAGGATATTGCTTTTGGTTTTACGTTTCTGGAGGATTATATGGCTCCAAAAAATCGATATTTCGGCGCTACAGTGGGTAGAAATGCAAATAGGATAAAAAACGCCCAAATTAATAATGACGATACCACCAACGAGGGTCAGCTCCATGGAGGATTTAAAGGCTTTGACAAGGTTAACTGGGATTATCAACGAGACGGCACGAAAGTTATAATGAGTCATTATTTCCCTCACGTAGATGAAGGTTATCCAGAAGATTTAATTGTTAGCGTTACCTTTGAACTGACTAATAATAACGATTTTAAGGTCGATTTAAAAGCCTTTACCACCAAACCAACGTTGGTTAATTTAACAAACCTCTCCTACTTTAATCTTGCTGGTCATGGTAAAGGAGCTGAAGAGCTTTACAAGCATATTGTTTGTATTAATGCTGATCAAATCACCGACGTGGATGAAAGTTCTAATATTACAGGTTACTAAACATCTTATTATCATGACCAAAATAAAATTAATCAATTTTAAGGTAATCTTCTTCCGGTGTCAGGCACACCTTTTGACCAACGTAATCCCACTGTTTTGGGAGAGCGCATTAACAACATCCCGGGTAATTTGGGCTACGACCACAATTTCTGCGTAACCAAAGGCACTGACAGTGGGAACAATTTTATTGCAAGAGTGGTCCATCCGCCATCCGGAAGGGTTATGGAATTGTACAGTAACCAACCCGGTGTTCAATTCTACACATCAAACAGTTTACCCGAGCAGGGTAAATGCGATACTTTAGCTTTGGTGAATGGAAAAGAGGGTAAAGGTTATTATAAACATGGAGGTTTTTGTTTGGGGACTCAAAATTTCCCTGCTGCTGTTAATCACGTGAGTTAAATTAAAAGTTCCGTACAATTTTTGACAAATTTGTTGCAGCAAAAATTTCCACCTGTAATTTTGTTTCCTCGCCAAACTTATCATCACACCATAGTTTATACATTTTCTATTATAAATTAAAGAATGTTACATCATATTAATCAATAAATATGAGGCATAAACAAAATATGAGAATTTCAATTATAATTTGAACCTTATTGACACATTCAAATCAAGGTCAATTAATTTATCTAATCTTTACTTTATATCGAGTTGCCAACGCTGTACACAAAATATTTAACAAATCCAATAGTACTACAACTGCTTCGAAAATGGACACACCGTGCGAGAAAAACACCGATTGCAACCCGGTGCGGCTTGAGGAAGATCAGTTCGGACTTTACACGGACAAAACCGGAAAATCAACTTCCGTTAGGCGGTTCACATGGAAAAACAAAAACAATGTGGAGGTGCAAGTGATTACTTATGGCGCGACCATAACCAGCATCAGAGTCTCGGATAATAAAGGTTTAGTCGAAGATATCGTCTTAGGTTTTCCATCGATGGAAGGTTACACGGCTCCAACGAATCCATATTTCGGCGCCACAGTGGGCAGAAACGCCAACAGAATCGGAAATGCCAAGATTATCATCGACGGCAAGACTTACAGCGTTACGGCGAACTCGGGTAAACATCAGCTACATGGAGGATTTAAGGGCTTCGACAAGGTCAACTGGGATTATCACAGAGACGGCACGAAAGTTGTAATGAGTCATTATTCCCCTGACAAAGATGAAGGCTATCCAGGCGATCTTATTGCTAACGTTACTTTTGAATTGACGAATAATAACGACTTTTTTGTCGATTTTAAAGCCTACACCTCCAAACCAACTTTGGTTAACTTAACAAATCATTCGTACTTTAATCTGGCTGGTCATGATAAAGGAGCAGAAGAGCTCTACAAGCACGTGGTTTGCATTAATGCCGACCAAACTACCCCTGTAGACGACAATTTAATTCCTTCAGGTATTTAAACAACATATATATATCGACGGGTCACCCACACCTGATAATCCCTGGACATTTTAGAGGGGGAATACCATAGGAATACAATAAAATATAATGGGAATACATGGGAATCCCTGGACGTTTTCCCTTTGGGTGGTTGACCCCTCGATATATATAGGGTCTTTCGATCTAAAATCGACCAGGCAAAAAGGGATAGGTCGTTATTTTTTAATCTATGAGACCGGTATTTTTTGTTTTTGCTTAAATTTGTTTTGTTCACCCGTGGAGAATTTTTTAAAAAAGGGACAGACACATAGTTTTTTTTACAAGTGGCATTTTTACTTGAAAATGCAATAACTTGGCAAAAAATGTTTCGATCGCTACATTTTTTTTCTTAATTGTAGATAAATGTTTACTACATACAAAAAAATATAAAAAATTAAGTGAATTTAATCAATTTAAAAAAAAAATTCTAAAAAAGGCACAAAAATTGAGGTCAAAATTTTGACATTATTTTCGTTTAAAGTTGAAAATATAAACCACTTTCCTAAAAGTCCCGAATTGGCTAAATTCGTAGTTTCAAAATTATTATTTTTTTTATGAAAATGCCATTTTCCAGTCAAATCATTTTTTGATTAAATTTTATTTCTATATCTAGAGTGCCTTGAATTGGCTTTTCTGCTTCATGTCTGGAAAAAATACAATTTTACTATTTTTTTGTTATGCTGGTTTTTAGGAGCTTTCAAAAATTGAAAAACCATGCTTTATGCCAAAACTATTTTTATTTAATAAAATAGGGTGGTTTGTTGGTCATGAAAGAAATCCACTTTTTTTTAATTCGATACCAAATTTTAATCCTTTTTTTAATAAATTTGCTTTCAAACTCTAAATTAAATTTGAATGATTATTAGGTTTTAAAGTGTGTACAAAAGTAAATAAATTAAGTAGGCCTTGAAACCTTTGTGTTTAAAAGAAGTATCAGATTTGACAGTTCGTTAGTTTGTTTTGCTGGTAAGTAAATATTAACATTTTATTTTACTATGAAAAGATAAGCTAAAACTTTTTAGAAAATAAAATAAAAATAATAATTGAGGTGGGCAGAATCAAAGGGGTGTAAGTAATTGCCCAACACTTTTAGGTTTTAAAACTACTAAATGAGTAGTACTTGTTAACCGACCAAAATTTTTCGGAATTGTTTGTGTTCTACATTTCTTTGAAATCGCATTTATTGTGCATTTGATTTATCAATTTTAGGTATGTAATACTTTTTATTATTTTAACCAAAATTAACTTAGGTATACTTTTAAAAGTAACACATGCAAAAATATTAAGAATTTACATTTGACTCTAAAATCTTTAATAATTTAATTTACTTACTTAAGAGCATTTCCGGTGAAACCAAGTGACAAAAATATGTTAAATATGTCAACAAATTTTATGACCCTAAATAAAACACCAAATTTTTGCGATGAATAACAAATTTACTAGAAAATAATAATAATTCCGAAACGACAAATTTAGCCAAGTCGAATTTTTGGTGAAAGTTGTTTTTATTAGGTATTAACTTCAAACGAAAAAAATATGAAGTAAAAAAAAAAGTGGCAATGTCAAAATTTTGACCTTAATTTTTTTTTGCCTTTTTTTAGAAAAGAATAATAAAAAAAATTTTGTGTGTAGTAAACATTTACCTCCAATTTAAAAAAAATTGTAACAATCAAAACATTTATGGCCAAGTTATCGCATTTTCAAGAAAAAATGTCACTCGTAAAAATAGAAAAATTGATGTTGCTGTCCATTTTTCAAAAATTTCCTGCGGGTGAACAAAACAAATTCAAGCAAAAAGAAAAAACACGGTTCTCATCGATTTCGGTATAGAAACTATAAAAAAAAATTCCTTAAAAAATAACGACATACACCTTTTTGCCTGGTCGATTTAAGATGAAGAGACCCTATTTTATCTTTAATAAAAACTCAAGATAACATTTCTAAAGGTAAACTTCAACCGGTGTCCGGTACGGTTTTCGATCTACGCGTACCGACCGTTTTGGGCGAGCGCATCAACAAAATCCCAGGCTATTCGGGCTTCGACCACAATTTCTGCATAACCAAAGGCTCCGACCAGGGCAACACCTACTTCGCCAGAGTGGTTTACCCGCCGTCCGGAAGGGTTTTGGAATTGTACAGCAACCAACCTGGTGTGCAATTCTACACTTCAAACTTTCTACCCGAAGAGGGCGATTCCAAGGACTTTGTTGAAGGGAAAGGGGGCAAACTTTACTGGAAGCACGGAGGGTTTTGTTTGGAAACGCAGAATTATCCCGATGCCGTTAATCACGTAAGTAGAATACAAGTAAATCTATGTCACCCCGTTTTAACATTTATTAGGTTTACATTTATAAATTTAAAATATTTTCAACTTTCATGTATTGAAAGATAAAATTTACTAACAGTTCACTTTTGTATTAAACAATATTATATTTCCAATCATTTTTTAATATAAATAATTTCTTAAGTAGGTATAATTTATTTGGGCAGAATTTTGTATTTAGATTAAATTGGTAAAGTTAATTTTTTTCTACCAAAATAGTTTAAAAACTTAATTTTTTTTAAATCTCAAGACAATTGATAATTAAAAAATATTTGAAATATAAAATGCAAATGTAAGAGTTTCAGTTTTTAAAAATGGTGGTAATTTTTGAATTAAAAATTTGTGCATTTGGTCTACATATCTGGTTTTCTCCATAAAATAATTTTAATTAAACAGCACTATTATGAAATAAGTATTAAAGGTAGGTTAATATATTTTGTAATTTTAAGGTTAAAAAATCTATTTTGCCCAAAATAAATAAGTATTTTGGATTTTTTTGAAAACAGTATAATATGGTATTACTTCTTTAAAAAAAATGTAGTTTTTCTAATCCAGCTTAAAGTGTACCTACATAAAGTTTGGCAAATATAAGTAGGTATAAAGCTGACTGAATTTTGATCTACATCAAAAAATCATTAAACTTTAAAAATTTTAATAAATCACATGTCATGGAAGTATTAAATATTTTCACATTGCAAGATTCTTTAAAAATTGTTTATTTTGTTATAATATAACTAAAATTAGGTATGTTGAGAAAGCATCAATTTAATTTGAACCATATTTAACAATTATTTAGTATATTTATATGACCATATTAACACACTCTTCCAAATAATCCACTTATTTATTTGGGTCAAAATAGTTTTTTTTTTAATAAATGCAGTTTAGTTAAGACTATTTTATTGAGATTGTAGACCAAATGCACAAAAATATTAATTATTTCCCTATACACTTTGGAATTTCATTATTTATATTCCTAAACTCTTAAAACAACCATTGTTATTGTGATACTATAAAGATTTAACTTTTAACGCTTAAACATAAGCAGTAACATTATAAATATTATTTCTTTCATTGACTATACTTTGACAGATACATAACGTGAAAAGCTTTAAATGCCAAATTTTCAAAAGACGTAGTCACGTGGTGGGACTTTGAGGTGTGGAGCATAGTACGTTTCACTGACTATGGACTATGCTTAAAATTCGCTAAAGCTACGTTTACACTTTGTAAATTAAAAATTATCGACTTTCTAAACGTAAAGTTATGAATTTTGTGTTAAAAATGTATCAATTTAAAATTGTTAAAAATCAATATTTTTAAGCTTAAAGTTTTACAGTTGTATTTTATATTTAAACAATTTTTTGACTATCAGCTGTTTTGAGTTTGAAAACATTTAACTTTGTAAATTTTTGTTAAAACATCATTAAATCTTCAAACTATTATCTAATAAATGCTAAAACGGCGTGCCATATAAATCGATGGTGAACATGATTTGACAACATTTTTTGCAGGTAAACTTTCCACCTGCAATTTTGTACCCCGGGGAAACCTATCATCACACTGTTGTGTATAAGTTTTCATCTATGAGCTAAATACTATTATGTCAATAAATTAACCAGACTAAACAAGATTGTTTTACTTAAAAAGTACTTACACAAACAGGTTGAAGGGTGGACACGTCGCCATGGGATTCTTGCATAGCGAGTGCTGATTGGCCAGGTATTCGGTGATGATCGAGTCCAACGTCACCGGTCGGGTGGTTTCCGGGTGGGTGACGTCATCCAACATGGGCAGCATGGCCAATCGGTGCGGCTCGCTGCTGATTTGTTTTTGGAGGCGCGAGTTTTGCACCGGCGTCGAAGGGAGCGTATGAGTTTGGGATTTTCTAGAGAAAACAAAGTTAACAATGTAATTTTTTGGGTGAGGTTTTTTTTAATTCTTACTTAATTATTTTGATCGCAGAAGAGTTTGAGGTGGTGCCGTTAACTGTAGGAATACTTTCTCCCGAACTACCGCTAGCGTTGCTAACGGAGGAACCACTTTTGGGGCAAGGAGATGAAAATGACAGGCGGCTCTGTAAAAAACAGCAGATTAAATCACATTGCCAACTTAATAAAACCAAATAAACTTACACGTGTTGGTGTTAACGTGGAAGAGTATCTAAATCTAGTTGGGTGGTGGGAACTTGACGCTATCACTGATTGGCTTAGGTTGGCTTCTTTCACTAAAGTCGAAGCGGTATCGCCGTAACCTTTGGCCACTAAATGCTGATGGATCAGTTGCAACAACTGTTTGTCCATGAATTGGATTTTTGTTTGGGCCACTACATTCGCCTAAAAATAATTGTTGTAGCATTGTGGGGCAGAAAAACATTTTTGAGCATTTCAAAAAGTGCTCGATATTTAAATTTTCTGCCAAAACTAAAAAGCGGGATTATAACATAAGCCTGGTTATGCTCATAAATGCTAAAAGGCGCCCGAGCGATTTTAAAAAGTGCATGTATTGTATTTCCCGCCATAACTAAAAGGTGGGATTACAACATAACCAACAAATTAATAAATTTTTTGTTTACAACGTTTACACTTAAAAGTGCTTAAGCATCTCAGATGATCTGCCATCTCTAATTATATAACAACATTTTGAGAGAACAGAATTAAAAAAAATAGTGCCATATCAAGTTAATAGGACAATAAGACACATTTAAAAAAATATTTTTAAGAGAACATTGAAAAAAAATGTGACCACCGGGAATCGAACCCGGGCCTCCCAGACCATATACGGTATATAATTTTATATGTTATATTTAAACAAAACTTATTATCAAGGTTTTACAAGTAGCTCGGGGCAGCTAGGTTAATTAGTGTCTCAGCACAATTCCGCGCGAATTGCACTAACCAAGCTTGCCTGAGCTACTTCTAAAACTTTAAAAATAAGTTTTGTTTAATAAAGAAACCCAGCATGCCACGACGTGGTATTCGCTTCCTTTATTTATTTGTTATTAAAATTAATTTCATTTTTGTGTTTGTATTGGAAAAAGTATTTTTGACGTACGGTAGGACAAACTAACTTAGGGTTTTTTATATTACATTGGCCAAAATGACAATTAACGCGTTTGTTTGTTTTCATTTTTTTTACAAAGTCAATTCAAGACTTCACAGCCACAAAATATTTTCCGATTGCGTTTCCGAAAATAAAACCAAGCTTTCCATTTTTATGTAGGCGCTAGAATATTTACTTACCCTGTGTATATTGACTAGAGATACTTCAAGATCATTTGTGTTATGCTTAGTTTTTCCTGAAAGTAGTTCCAGTAGTTCTAGAGCGTATTTTTGGAATGCTACGTGTTCCTGGCGCTTTTCTTGCAAAATTGGATCCCGCATTAAATCTACAAAAGAATATTTGTTAGTTTGCATCCTTTGTTAATTTAAAATCTTAACTCACTTTGCAACTGACCAGTGGTAAATAATGGTAACTTTGAAACAATCTGCCTAACTGTATTGGATCTTGCCAAACCGGCTAAAGCTTTGCAAGCCAATGTTCTTATGCAGTCAGCGTCTGTTATAGGCGTTTTAACGTTCATTAACTGCATTAAAACCTGTAAAAACATAATAAAAACAACATTCCCCAATGGATACAGGAAAACTTACCATTATCCCACTATTTGATCTAACACAATCCCATACTTTCTGAATGAGATCCTCGGAGTTTTTGTACTTGGTTTTTTTATTTGGCGAGTTTGTAGCGTTCAAGGAGAATCTACTTACTGAAGTACCGACCTAAAAATATTAAAATTACATAGTTTATTGCGCATTTTAAATTATTTTTGTACTTACCCTATTAATAGGCCCGCAGACGCAGTTACAGATAACTCTAAGGGCAGCTTTGTGCACCTCAGCGTCCGCAACTATTTCGCCCTCTGCTGCTCCCAAAATTATGTTGATACCTTGAAAAAAAAATCAAAATAACCACACCATTTCAGAGTTTAATTATTTTATCACCCACCAACTGTAATAGTTTCTTCTGGCAAGTCCACTCTTTCGCAAAACAGGAGCTGAACCTTGGGCATGACGCAAGCAATGGCTAAAACGTCCAAAGCAGACCTGACCGTTTCGGCTCTACCGCCATAGTTCCATTCGTAGGCAAACGCGATTACTTTGAGCAACAAAGTAATCCCTCCCAGTTTCAAGAACTGATCGACCGGCGCCCAATGGCTCTTGAACGGCATGCTCTGCAAGAATTAAGATTTTGTTAATAAGTACCATGGTACAAGAAAACATCAGATTGGCGAAGAGGTGGGAGCCGCCATATTGGGTATTTACATTTTGATGTGAGTTGTTTTTCAAGCTATTTTAAAGTGTTAAAAATATCTACCTGCCAAGTGAAAATCTGTAAAAACAATGCTAAAAAAACCTGAAAATTCAATACATTTTCTTAGTAAAGGCTTGAAAAAATTGATGTTAAGGATAGTAAGTAGATTTAATTTAAAAACAATTAAATAACAGTAGTTTTTTTAGAGGTACTTTCCTTTTGTATACACAGATTATCTGTGATATTGATTATAAATAAAAAGGTTTTAGGGTAATATTTTTCATTGTTTTGTAGCTTGTATTTGTTCCATTTACTTTAAAGATAGTTGCTATAAGAAGGAAAATTGGATTGAAAAAACACACAAACTACATTTCCATAAAACGGTTTTAAATTTACACTTTACAGCTGATCTATTAAAAGAGAAATTAAGTACTTTGTAAGAGATTGAAATAAAATTGGAAAAAATATATAAATCATAGTTCTTTTCACAGTGTACAGGGTGTCCCAAATTGGTTGACCGTATAGGCTATCTCATCTCAGTAAATATAAATGCTAGAAAAAATTCGACCACCCATCCCCGTCGTCTTTTTTAAAGATACATCGGTTGATGTCTTTGAATTTTCTCGATTCGCATTTGTTTAGGAGATATACCTATTTTTTCAATTTTTGCCAATTTTGACAAATGCTTGTAGCTTCGTTAATATTTGAGTTACGAATACAGGTTTAAAATATTATGTAGGCACTTTTTATCATAGAATTCATTAGTGTAGACAGATTATTTTTAGCTCTTTTAGGTTAAGAGATATGACCCTATAAAGACAATCAATTTGGGACACTCTGTACAAGAAATAGGACAAAACCATAAAGCATAATATGATATGATCAAACTCTAAGAAATTAAGTACTGCAGTGTAAGAAATTAAAATAAAATTTGAAAAACAAAATAAATCTTTCTTTTTGCATTCTGCAGGTAATGTTCCGAGACAAGGAAGAAGAGTCCATAAGAGAAACTCAATTTTTTTTTACTTATTATGCATTAATTTTGACGTGCAGTGTATGTATGGTTTTATATTATAATGAAAAATTTTTAATTCAATAATTTAAGTACCTTAAATTTAGGCACCCAATATAATATTTATAACCATGTGACCTAATTTTGATACTTTTTTTTACTTTTTTATGTATTAAAAATACGGACCTTAAATAAAACCCAATTTTATAACTATATCACCTAATTTAGGAACCTTTTTTCACTTTTTTATAACCTAAAAATCCGGACCTTAATGATAAGTAAAACTTTGAAATAAAAACTTACGTTCAACAAGGTCTCGATTTGCTGCTGGATCTCCTCGGGGGAAGATTTGCAGGCCTTGTAGCCCGGCTGGGCGGGCAGGAGGGAGGGGGTGCTGCGTTCGGCCGGTCGCAGTTGGCCGCGACGGATCAGCTCCACCTTGGCCACTAGATGCGCCTCGAAGTAGCGCCGGTAGGCGACGCACACGTGACGCACCATCTGGCGCGCGGCGCACTCTTGATCTTCGTTCAGTTGCCCGGTGTCGGCGTCCGGGAGCATTATCGGCAACGTCGCAATCTGGAGATTCGGTTGGAATTTAGCAAAAAAAAATTTCGTATATGGTAATCACCGGAGCCCGAATTATAAACAGAACGAACGAATGAATAATTGCGTTAGGAAAAACGAAATTATAACAATTTTTGGTTTAAACAGCCTTTCAGTTTGTTGTTAATTATTTGAGACCGGCTGAATTTTTACCCAATTTTTAAATGCCATTTAAATGTAAATACGCAACTTTTGTTCAATTTAACCGACCTTGTGGCTCTTCAAATCAAAAAGATATCCATACATAGGACCACTCTTGTAAAATCCTTATTTATTGTGGGATTTTAACCGGATTTGTTTATAAGTGTAGGTCTTGATAAACTGTATTTGTGGAGCAAAAAAGGCCCAACAATTTCTTAAGAATTCCACGATTAAAAAAAAATCTTCCCCCTGAAAACAACCCTATACTAAATTTTATTGAAATTTTTTAAGTAGGAACGATTTTGTAGCTTAAAAATGCACAATAATAACTATTTAAACAAACTTATCCATAAAAAAAACATTGAAATAAAATTATACTAATGATAACATTGTATAAATTTTCTTATGCTTAGGTTTTTAACAAAAAATAGATAATTCCAAAAATTTTCTACAATTTTCGTATTTTCGTCGACTCTACTAATCCACCGTTTATTTAAAATAAAAAAAAACTTTTATATTTGTTCTGGAGTAATGGCGCAGCAGAGTTGCAAATAATGCATTATTTTTTTAGTCTAGTAAGGTTTCAATACAAATTATTAAAATAATGAGTAATGTGTTTAATTTTCATTATGCATTAATTCTTTTAAAATTAAGTTAATTACTCATTTAACTCGTTTAACCCTCGAGCGGGCGCGTTGGTGCAAATGTGCTACCAATAATACTTAATAAGGGCTTGGGGCATGAACAAGTGTTTTATTTGTTTTATAGCTCTTAGTATCTTCCTAGATATTGATGACGAAGGGTTAGTTAAGTTTGTTTAGTTTAAATTTTATTAGTGTGTGTTGTCTACAGCGGTTTAAACTTAATTGGAGCAATTTTGCTACCACGCGCCTAATGATGTAAGTATATTTTTAGTTGATTCTTTTTTAATTGTGATATTTTTTCTGTTGTTACTAGTTTTATATTGCTAAAAAATATCATTTACCAGTTTCTGTATAATAATAATATTATTTTTATTATTATTTGCATTCCTAATACATGTATATCGAGTATATAATATAGGTAACTGTAATTATTATTATTATTAGCTTTCCAAAAATTTGTATTTTATTCTATTTACTTTATTTTAGGGCAAAAGGTCTAAAATTCAGTTTTACCTTCATATATTCAATTATTTTTAAAGGGTTACAAACATGTAGAAGAAATACAAAAACAACATGAAAGAAGAAAAAGGCGGCGACGTTGTACTATATGTGGACGTCAGAAATATAAATTTACGTATTTTGTGACAAATGTGATAATTTTGTTTGTCAAGAGCACAGTGAAAGTACAATTTCGTGTTACAAATATAAAACAAATTTAGTTTAAAATGATGAAGATGACTAACTTTTTATTTTTGTAAAATATAAATATATTATATAAATGTTTATTAGAAATATTATTTAAATGTTTAATAAACATATAAAACTAATTATTTAAACTTTATTTATAGTATTTACTGCTAAAACACTATTAAAGCTGTTTTAAAACTATAATTTACAGCTGGTAGCATATTAGCACCACGCGCCCACTCATGAAATATTATAGGACGCGACTGCTCTAGGGTTAATGAAAATATTTCTCATTATAATTTTTTTTTATGATTAATGTATTCAAACTACATTACCATTAATTATAATGCATTATTTTTTACATTAACATTTTTTGAATTCTCTATTTTTTGTTTCATTGTTGTTTTAAGTTTCTATTGCGTTTTATATTTATCAAAACTAAGCATAGGAATATTTATACAATGTTACTATTTAATAGTATTAGTTTAATTCCATTTCAATGTTTTTCATGGACCACTTCACAAAATCAATTATTGTAAATAGTTATTGTTCATTTTTAATTTGGCTACAAAATCGTTCCTTTAAAAAAAAATTAGTATAGGGTCGTTTTGAGGGGTGGTGAATCCAGTACATATATCTTTTTAAATCACTAATAATAATGATTAAAAATTTACCATTAAAAACAGACATAGTAGGCCTTGTATTTTGAAAAAAAATGCTCCATAAATATACTTTAGCAAGATCCACACTTTAAAACAAATCCGATTAAAATCGCATATTTAGTAAAGATTTTACAGAGGGGAGTTTGAATTAATTACCTTTTTCTAATTAAATATAGTTTGCAAATTACAAATACAAAAATTTAATTATTATTATTATTATTTCATGAATATAGATCAAAATAAGTAAAATAAAAAAAATTGTTCATGTGTCTTGTATTTAGAATAGTTACATAATTGTACTTTTTGAGAACTAAATTTTATAATAAAAGTAGTTTTCCTTGAAGAATTCTAAAAATATTTTATTTTTAACAATTTTTCAAATTCAGAAACCTCAGCAAGCAGTTTTCGGTAAGCCAATCAGATTTTACCACTTCCATAATTCTTGTTGAGGTTCCTTCACTTAAATTTTTTGAAAATAGTAGTAAACTTTGACAAAAGCTTTAAGATCGAATTTCAATCAAAATTCTATAAACTTAGGGTAGAGAAGTATCTTTTCTTACCTGTTTTCCGAAGCAATTAAATAAGAAGTAAATGTTTTTTCTTTAATAATTTACGAATTAAATCACTAAATTTATTCATGCAAACGATTAATGCAAAAATGTTGCAATATTAAAATGAACTCACCACATTGTGCAGCTTTCTTAGACCATCTTGGGCATCAAATTCGTCCAAAATAACTTTAAATTGAAAAGTTAAACCAAAGAACATTATTGTGTGACATCTCCCAGAATCATGAGAGCACTCCAAAAGCCACAAGGCATATCTACAAAACAAAACAAAATCGTTAACAAATGAACAAAACAAAAAAATAAGGCAACTTACTTGACTAAGTTACTGACAATATATTTCGGTAAAAGACAAACTCTCTCCATTGCTTCTTCAGAGTAACCCAAGTAGTACAAGCATATTGAGACCCCTGTTGCAGCTATTGAAGGTCGGGGGACTTCCAATAACGCTTCCAGTCCGTTAAATTGCACAAAATCCGTGGAGAATTTTTTATGGCACAACAAAGAAGCCAAATATTTTAAAGCCTCAAACGCCAATCTGGCCTCCTTGGTCTGCCTCACATTGACATAAGACAAAATCAACTCCAACGCGTTGTTCTCGAACACTCTGCTCAAAAACTCCTGATACTCTCCCATGGGGGTCAGATACCTTAAAATTAAAATTTGCCTGGTCACAATCGTCGGAGGAAACATCTGCACGGTTCCGATCATGAAGCTCTCCAGTTCGGCCCACGACGAGTTGCTGGTTTCCGAAAAAATGCCTTTTTGCGGGCTGGAATCGCTAAACGTAACCGCGGCGTCTTCGGTGAGGCGCATTTTTTTTCGTCGCGAACATTCCGACGACTCGGACGAAGTGTTCAACGGCGGCGGTTCGCAAGGTTTCGACATCGAAGACACGCCCGGGCCTGGCGGCGACAAAATCCCGTTTTCCCTCGCTAAAAACCAAAAATTAACGCTTTAAATATCTTTCTTCACGAGACTTACGCCTTTTCGAACCATGCGATGATGTAGGACTAAACAACTCACTTCTGTAAGGCGGCGATTTCAAAGCCGACAAATGAGCAAAAGGTCTGCTGTTACTGTTACCAGGGCCGTTGTTTACAAATTCCGATGAGGATCTCAGTCGTCTCAATCTTTGAAGCATTAGGGGCACTAATTGGCCGTTTTGTTCTCTATAAATGTTAAATAAAACAATAAAATAAAAATTCCTTGTTCAGTTAAAATCCCAACTCTTATTTTTAATAGGTTCCTCAATAACTTAAAATATTTCGTATTAAAAATATTTTTTGTCATTATTTCTTTATGCAATTTATGAATTTTCGTTTTTCATATACTGCGCGTCAAAATAAACGCATAACAAGTAAAAAAATCCAACTCTAAAACGCCTTTACAAATCTTTATAAAAATAAAAATACACTTATATAACTTATATCTCAGTTTACTTGTTCGAGGGTTTTTTGAGAAAATATTTTTGAAGCACTTTTATTTAATAATAATAAAAAACGTTTGAAAAATAACTTTTAGGGAATTTTTTTTAAAGTAAATAAAAATATGCTGTTAAAGACCGTATTTTTGTTAGTATGCCCTGAAAATTTTGTACAAATCAAACGAACATTAACGAAGATACAGCGCTTCAAAATAGGTAAAAATTACCCTTTTTGATAATTTTGCTGAAAAGTGGTCATTTTTGACGACTTTGAAGCGCTGTATTTTTGTTACTGTTCGTTTGATTTGCACAAAATTTTCAGGGTATACTTACAAAAATACGGTATTTCGCAGCATATTTTTTATTTACCTTTAAAAAAAATTCCCTATACAAGTTTTTTTTCAAGCGTTTTTTATTATTGAATAAAAGGGCTTTAAGGATATATTCTGGAATAACCCTTGAACACGAAAACTGATATAAAAGTTAAAGTATTTTTATCCAAAATTTTATAAAGATTTGTCAAGGCGTTTTAGAGTTGGATTTTTTTTTACTTGTTATGCGTTAACTTTGACGCGAAGAGTAAATGATAATTGATTATATTATAATTATAATGTAATGCTCCTAAAGGATTATTAGCAATTTATATAAACAAATAAATACATAAAATATGTTATTTTAATTTTTTAAACTCAATGAGGAACCTTAAAATTGAAAATACTGAACTTTTATTTAAACCCAAAGAATTTTTAAATTATCTAAAAAAAAATTTCAAACAAACAAAAATTAAAATATGTTTTTTCATTATTTATAGGTACAACAAAACATTAAATACTATGGCACGACGTTTTAGCATTTATTAGATAATAGTTTGAAGATTAGTTTGGCACTTTAATGATGTTTAAACAAAAATTTACAAAGTAATTTTTTTTAAAACCTAAAAATATTTTATTCGATTTTATTCTACAAAATTATCTGTTTAAATTTGTAGTCATTTAAATAATACAAAAATTCTCACATTAAATTTAACTGTAAGTTTTAAATTTTAAAGTGGTAATTTTTAGATTAAAATTTATTCACTATCATTTAAATGACTCTTTACAAATTTAAAGCAAAACTTTTTATTTTTATCAATTCATACATTTTTAACACAAAATTTATAACTACATTTAAATGTAAGTTGAAAATTTTTAATTAACAAAGTGTAAACGTAGCTTTAGCAGATGGCGTACGCTGTCTATGAATTTGATGTGAATTAAAAATTATCGACTTGCATTTAAATGTAATGTGAATATGTTTGTGTTAAAAATGTATCAATTTAAATTTGTTAAAAATAAAAGTTTCTCAAAAGTCATTTAAATGATAGTCAATAAAAATTACCACTTTAAATTTAAATTTAAAACTAACATTTAAATGTAATGTGAGAATGTTTGTATACAAAATTTATCAACAAAAATGATTTTTTTGATTTTTTTTTTTTAAATTATAAATACTAAAAATAACTTGACTATAATATTATATAAATAAAAAATAAGCAGTTTTTCTATGAATATGAATTTATTTAAATAGTGTCAAGATTTTATTGTGCTCTAGTTTTAGATCTTTTAAGGTTTTTTTAGATTTTAGAAACTTTTTTAAAACTGATTTAAAACATTGATTAAAATAAAAAAATTACTTGATTTAAACTGTGATTTAAATTAAATGATTTCAATCAGGCAAACCCTGATTTTATATTTAACATATTTTTTGATTATCAATCAGTTTTGAGTTTAAAAAATATTTACTATATAAACTATTTTGGTAGAAAAAGTTTTGTTTTTATTTTAAATTATAAATAATACCTACTTCAGAAATTATTTTTATGGAAAAATGATAGAAATTTTTGCAAAAATTGATTAGAAATAATATTGTTTAATACAGAAGTGAAGTGATAGTAAATGTTGTCTTTCAATAGATGATAGTTGAAAATATTTTAAATTTATAAATGTAAACCTAAAATCTTTAGTTAGGAAAATTTTAAGGCAAAATTTTAAATTAAAAAAATATTTAATAAATGTTAAAATGGAGTGCCATAAAATACTGTGTATAATTTACAAAAAACAAACCTAAATCTTGTGGCAATATCAGATATTTCCATTGCAGCTGCCAATAATCCAGTAGCATAACTCTGCAAAGGTTCTATAGAATCTGTGGCCCATTTTATTAATCTGTGGATTAAGGAATCCATTTCAGGCTACAAATAAAATTAAATACACATTTACAAAACAATTACCTCTATATTATTATTAATTACCTGAAAAACTACAGAAGTCTCCAATCCAGGCATTATATCCAGCATTAAACGACATGCTGCTATGTTCAAATGGTCTATATTTCTGCCTTGAATACCTAATCTAGCGTAATAAGTATCTCTTAAATAGTCATTAACCAGCTGAAATAAAAACATTCTTAATAACAAGTCCCAGCAAATTAAACCATTAAACTTACTTTATTCATAAAATTATCTTTTCTAAAAAGAGCTTTTAAAATCTGACCCAACTTGCAGTCAGGGTCAGTTCTGGAGGGGTGTCTTTCGTCAAACGGATCAGGGTCAAGTTTCATATAATTATCAGTCTCCACTTCTATTATTTCGGCCAACCTACAACACAAAAACTATAGAAACCCATATCCACAAACACCACTATAAACATACCTCGTAAGGGTTGGAACGGGGTCATAATTATGTTGACCATGCTCATCCTCCCAACCTCTTACCAAGGCTGATACCTCCGTCATCACGGTTGTGCTGTTATTTGTGTCTGACATCCTTCCTTTCTTTAAATAAAACACATGAGGCTATTATAACATAACCTTATTGTTTATAATTATGAAATATTCTTCACTTTGGAAAACTTTCATATACCACTAGTACACACTATATAAACGTTCATAAGACACTACTTTGTTAACTGTTGTGTTCGCAAACACTTACTTTTGCCAATTAACGGACCAAACCACCCACAAAAGATGCTGTAGACAAATCTTCATTAACAAGTATTACCTTAGCTAGACATTGCTGCCAACCTAATTCGGTATTTACGTTTTACAGACTTATTTATTTACAGGCTTTTCAACAATAATGCATCATTAAAAATAAACAATATTAAACAAAAAATAATACAAAAACAATAAGAATTATGTTTATGCCCGTAGTAACTTTTATTTCTAAATTAAATGATAATAATGATAATGTTTGTATTGTTGGTACTACTGTTTGTTGATGGTCAAAAACGTCAAAAATCGAAACTCGTGCTTGGTCGATAGCGGCTTTTCGCGAATTTTCTCAATAAACTAAATAACAAAACCGGTGCGAGTAAAAATGAGTGGTGACGGAAATCAAATGGAAACTTTCGATTCCTTATTTTTGTCGATTGCACAACATCATCCCCAAGGAGCCTCGCAGGTACGAAAATTCTAGAAAGTGTTTACTATAACCTTAAAAATATCTTTTAAAACTTTCGATATTCACGCTTTATTTTTAGCTTCTCGACACGTTTGTGAATTTCTTGGGAAGAAAAACCGATTTTTTTATCGGCGGACAGGAAGGAGCATGGCAATCGGTAAATAAAAAAACAGCAAAATCATTCTTAAAAATATCTTATATTACTGAAGTTTACATTCTTAAAACTGTTTTAAGGCAGATAACGTTATTAATAAAGTTAAATAATATTATAGCTATGGCTATAATAGCTGTATTATCTGGCTTAAATTGACGTTTATAAAGTAGTTCAAATTTTTAAGACCATCTAGATTTGATTTCAATCAACTTATGTTATTGTAGCTGGTGATGAGCACATTTAAAAAATACGAGAAAATAAGCAGGGATGCTCACGAGGCTGAACTTAAACTAAAAAAGGAAAAAGAGGCAGTTAAAAAAGCTGCATCTGCCAAAAAACAAGAAGCTGAAGTTGTTAAACCAGCTGAAATTAAGGAATTGACTGATGCTGAAGCTGAACAGCTGCAGGCTGAGTTAAACGCTAAAAAGGGAGGGTCTGAAGCTGCACCTGCTAAAGCTGAAGAAGGGAAAGGCAATGATGAAGAAGAGGAGGATGAAGCTGAAAAAGGAAAATTGAAACCAAATGGTGGAAATGGTTGTGATCTGGAAAAATATAAATGGACACAGACTCTACAGGATGTTGAGGTGAGTACCTTTAAGTTTTATTTCTTTATTATTTTTTTAAATTTGGTGTAAAATTTACTCTTCAGTAATCTGGGTTGCCTACCTATAATATACAGTTGGCTTATGAAATAAATGTAGATGATTTCATTTCAGCTATTAATTAATTATAAATCAATATTAGGTGTTTACAAGAATAATTTAGAGTAGTAAATACTATATACTTAGGAATAAAAATTTGGGTGATTAATAAAACAATGGTATATTTGTATACTTTTTTAATTTTAAATAAATTTACGAAAATTCTTCCGCAATATCGCCATTACTTGTCGACAACGCAGAAAAATATAAATACTATATAATACAATATGATTGCTTTTTTATACATATCACAGTTGAGATTATTAAAACTTATACAACTAAAAACAACCACAAATTTTGGTCAAAACTTGGTAAGATCCTTACAATTTAGAAGGTTTTTTTTAATAGTTACATTATAATTTAAATAAAAAATATAAATAATATTCCTAGCTAAGAAATGGTGAATGCCTTTAGGTTAAAGTGGTAAAATAATCGGATTAATACCTCTGGTTTTTGGCTCTCACTGTAACAGAAAGAAAAAAAATAAAAATGCTGTATTAATAACAAAAAATTATATATAAAACCATGAAAAAGTACTGTAAAAGCAATTTAAAAATTAAAAAAGTTAATAACAAACTAAATAAAATGTACATTTATAATATTTTGTCGTATATCCCATATGAAAGGCACTTTACCTACACAATCAATAGTTTTTTTTAATATTCCAAGCATACTTGATTTTTCAAAATTAAAATTATGTAGAAAATTAATCTTTTATCAAGCTGGCCCGAAAATGAAAATTGAATTTAATTTTTTCTGTATTTTTCTTAGGGTGGTTTCTACTTTGACATGCCAAAAAAATCTTTTTGCATTTTCTAAAACCTCTATATATCTGTAACAGCCTGATAAATATTAAGATAGCAGACTGGATGTAGTCACTTTTTTATAAACATATGGCAGTTTTGGATTATTTAAGACAGTTCTAATACAGTTTGGGATAGCAAATTCATAGTTTTGGGGAATTTTAAACAATTATTAAAGTTTAATTATTTTAGATGGTTTTTAGAACAATACTATACTAAAATAATGAAAAAAATATTAAAAACTGCTGTTGTTTCTTATAAAAACTTTTTATTATTCCAGTTTTTTTTAAGGACCAACATTTATAGATTAAACTTTTTTGTTTTTAATAATATTTGAGATGTGGAATTTTCTCCATCCATTACCTCATCTAGTTCTGTTCATAGTTGGAAATAATGCATTAGTTTTCGAATGCATTAGGTTTAATATTAATTAATTTTAAATTAATTTTTATTACATTTTTCCAATGAGTTACATTACTCATTTTTAGTTTGTAATGAGTATTTTGAGATTTTCTATTAAAATTGTTTGTGTTAATAACTAATGTATCTACTCACTTTACATTACTTATTTTTGTATTTTTGAATATTAGTGGGCAAGGAAGATATTGATCTTTTACAAAAAGCATGGACTTTGTGAGTGGAAATAATTTATTTCTTTCTTAATGAACGGCCATTTTAAGCGCGCGAAACGCACGAACAAAACTGTTTTAATAAAAAAAATTATAGATAAATTTTTACTTTTATAATATTTTGGCATTAAAATTGTCAAACATATTCTCATTTTATTAAAAAAACGCAAAACATTTTATAAAAGTAGACATAATTTTAATAATTAAAAGGTGTGGACGGGACAAAAAAATATTTATCTCGTCCCATCCTCACCTGTCAATTATTAAAATTATCTATACATTTATTAAATATATGTTGGGTTTTTTTAATTTAATGTATAGGCTAATAAAATAAAAATATATTTGACAATTTTGATGCAAAAATAATAAATTACCTAAAATTTTTTTTATAAAAACAGTTTTGTGATTTGTATGCTTGAAATGTCAAAAGTCAAAAAAATTTGTTTTAATTATAAACGTTTTTTTTTAATATTTCCTTGATTCAACTCAATTTTTTTTCTTTTTTTTTATGATATGATAAGCATTAGTTATGTTGATAAAAATTATATATTACGCAGAATTATTATGTACATACTAGAAAAATAGAGAAATACTTGATTTGTCATTAAATACACCCCTGATCATTTTTTACTGCTGTTATTGGTAATGTTACACATTTTCTTTAATGTGTAATGTAAGGTCTCTTATTACTCGTTTTTTATTTTTTAATGAGTAAAGCATTGTTTGACATTACTCATTAAGTTTTAAATGAGTGATGCAAATATTTCTCATTAAATTTTTTTTTTTGATTAATGTATTTAAACTACATTACCATTAAAAAAAAATGACGATTGATTATTTTTTACATTAACATTTTTGAAACCCTGGTTCTATCTTAAATGGCTTCTTTACCAAACATTTCTAAAAATTTTCGATGCAAAAAAATGGACTTCCCTTAAAATTGTTTTTTTTTAATTTGACTTACTTTCTAACATAAATATGGCGGCCACGATGCCTATCGTGAACAGAGCCGACATGCTCAGCACGAGCAACGTGATGCGGTGCTTCTTGCAGAAGCTCCTGCGCGGCTGCTTCTGCTGCCGGCTCATGTCGACGGTGAAGTGCGTCGAGCTGCACATCGACGCCGTGTCCGGCTCGGGTTTCTTGCCGCCCGCCAGCCGGGCGGCGTGGAGCGCCAGGGCGTCGACCGCGCCCGCGCTCTCGAGGTAGTAGCGTATGTTTTGGTCTCGCGTGCTCGCGATCTCGGTCGCCTCCTCGCAGGCGGCGGCGGCGCCTTGGCCGTGCTGATTCTGCGTCTGGATCTGCGCCAGGTTGGCCGCAGTCAGCAGGAGGGATCCGGATCTGGCACTCTGGAAGAGTAAAAGAAAACAAATTATGTTTAGTACTAAATGACTGTACCTTATGGCGCGCCGTTTAAACATTTATTAAATTATTTTTTAACTTAAAATTTTATTGGTTTAAAATTTTTTCAACTAAAAATTTTAGGTTTAAATTTAAAATATTTTTAACTATCATGTATTGAAAGAAAACAGTTACTAACACTTTTGTATTAAACAATATTATTTCCAATTAATTTTAAATATTCTATTTTAATAAAAATATTTCCTTAAATTTAATTTATTTGGGCAGAATTTTATATATATTTTTAAATTATTTAGATTAGATTGGTAAAGTTAAAATTTTTAGTAAACACTAAAATTTTAAATATTTAAAAATAGCGTTGAGACATCTAAAATAAAAACACATATAAAACTTTTTCTACCAAAATAATTTGAAAAGATAATTTTTTTTTAATTCGAAACATTTGATAATTAAAAAATATTTTTAATAAAAAAAATACTCTTATTACATTTAAATTCATTGACCATCATGACTTAGAAATTTGAACTAATAACAAATTTAAATTGATACATTTTTAACACAAACATAGGTATTCACATTACATTTAAATGTAAGTCGATAATTTTCAATTGAGAGGCTTGGAAGTAAAACGGTTCAAGTGCACTTTTTTAAATAAATGGTCCAAGTGCAGAATATCACACCTAAAGAATATTCTAACTTAGTGGTAAAATTATATAAGTACATTTTACATTCCCTGGCGCCATTTCTTATCGTCTTTAAAAACCTGTCAAAATATTTTAAAATATATCTTTGGTAAAACGATTTAAGTGCACCTTTTTGCTAAACATAGGCTATTATCTATGCTGCTAAAGCCTTGACAAGTATTTTAAAATAGACCATAGCATTGAGCCAAAAAAAACCAATTTAGATCAACCCCAACCAAGACCAGCTAATTCAGATGAAGAAAACGTTGTATTAGATTCTGATTATGATTAATACTTTTTGTTATAAAACTTACCCAAATTTTAAAAAATAAAGTTTTGTTCTAGTACAGAAATTGCATTTAAATCATTTTACCACTAAATTTTGTCTTACATGCATGACGATTCAAGTACATTTTTGTAAAAAAAAATTAACAAAAAAGCGAAATTAAAAAATTCCTTTTTCTTTATAATCCTTTTTTGTCTTTAAACAAAACTAAAATATTCACACAGTTTTTTAAAATCTTTTCTAGAATTTTAAAATTCAAGTTAACTTTAAAGCCATTTATCTCAGAACTAACAAAAATGCACTTAAACCCTTTTACTTCTAGGCCCCTCAATTCACAAAGTGTAAACTCTGCTTTAGCTTACTGCTTATTTCACTGACTATGGACTATGCTTAAAATTGACCACTCTGGAAAGAGACAGCGTACGCCGTTTAAACTTTGTAAATTTGTAAATTAAAAATATAAAGTTTTGGTTTACCTAAATTTATAAAGAGTCATTTAAACGATAGTCAATACATTTTTATTCCAAAAATTACCACTTTAAAATTTAAATCTTACGTTTAAAATTTAAACGTAAGATTTAAATTTTAAAGTGGTAATTTTTGGAATAAAAATGTATTGACTATCGTTTAAATGACTCTTTATAAATTTAGGTAAACCAAAACTTTATATTTACATTTAATGTAAGGTGAGAATTTTTGTATTAAAAATTTATCGAGTATCATTTAAATGACTCTTTACAAATTTAAACCGATAATTTTGTAGAATAAAATATTTCAACTAAAATTTGTAAAATAATTTGTAAAAAGTTTAATCTTAAAACTATTATCTAATAAATGTACCTACTATATTATGTTATGAGAAAAGATTTCATTGAAGCAATTATAAATATCTACATATGATGATGATGATAAATCAGCGCCGGATTTTTGGGGTCTAAAGACCCGGGGCGCAAGCTTCTTAAGAAAGCCAGGGGCGCAAAATTTTTGACTCGTAAATGTTTTTTTTACTACAAACAAAAAAGCTTTTCCTCCTTATAATTATTTTTTATTTTAATACAAAAGGCACTATATACATATATATTGTTTAAAACAGGATTTAAACGCAACAACGAGTTGTTGACAGTTGGTTTCTATGGTAACGCTTTTGGCTTTTGACAGTGACAGTGGCAGTTCTATATGCAGTTGTATTTAAAATAAAGTTCACTACAAAGAAAAAATATTTAAAAAAAGGTATGAGAGCAAAAAATTAAGCAACATAAAACATGCAGACTGCAGTCTAAACAGAAGGGCAGAAAACAAAGAAAAAACCCATAGAAGGTAGAAGGATTATCTAATTATTTAGGATAAAATAAAATAGAGTTTTATTAAAGTAATAAAAATTACATTAACCGTCAAATAATGCATTTAAAATTATTACAAGGTAAGTAAAGATTAAACATAAATATAAAGTTTAACAAAAAAGAGGTAAGCAAAGATTAAATACAAATAGTATAACACAGATTAATTAAACAGGTATATTAATAAAAATAATCTTAAGTTTTATAAACACATACGTTACGAAACAAATTTTAAAATTTATAATAAGGGGCCCTTATTAAGGGCTGTTCCTGGACACATTAATTTACTTTAAAAACTAAGTTATGGTATGTCTATAGACACCAAATAAATCAAACCAAATATACCTAGATAATCACGTGTTCGTAATCCAGTATTGCCGGATCTTCTAGACGAGAATGACAGATTGATCAATTTTTTGGTCAAAATTATAGTTTGTTATTGCAAAACTGTGCGGTAAAAGTTAACAAAAATTTATATGGTACTTCTACAGGCATAAGTGCACACCAGAAATCATTAATTTTTCAATGTCACGTTATAAGATATGCATTAATTAAAGACATGGGCTGTATAGGAGATGTATTTAATTACATCATATCTTATAACCTGACAATAAGAAATCGATGATTTTTTGTATGCACTTACACCTGTTGAAGTGGCATATAAATTGTTGTTAACATTTACAACGCAGTCTTAGCAACTTTAATATTAGGTATTCAGAAACCAGACGGTCAATCTTTCTTTAACCGAACCTCCTTAATAAATTCATTCAAAAAGTTCTATAAAAGTATTTGTCAATTTCTTAAAATTAATCTTAAATTTATTATTCATCAAATTAAATTTGTTAATCGATTAACAGGAAGTGATTCATATACGTGTTTTGTAAGTTTTGGAAATATTACACTCCTAATACTTACAACAACGAAGGTCAAGAACAAGAGTAGAAGGTATTTGGTAATATTGCACAAGAAAAACTATTTATAAATTTACAATTTAATTCACACGTTTTTTTTTGTATTTATTATTTACAATGGAATTTATGAGGCGCCGTTTGTGCCATAATTATGATTTGTAAAATATATAATAATTTCTAAAATAAATATATATTTTGTTTAAAATATAAATATTTTATCTAAAATATATATATTTTAGCTTATTTTATAACATATATATTAGTTTTACTAAAATATAATAATATTTGTACAAAATAATATATATTTAAAAATTTTATATATTTGGACAGTTGAACTTATAATATAATTTTAATACTAATAATATAAACTCAGCTTACAAGACGTAAAGCCAGGAGGCGCTGGCAGCTTTATTTAACTTGGCAACGCAGCCTGTCTGTCATTTCATGCGGGAATTACTGTGGTGTTAGTTTTTTGCCGCGTTTTGTTTTTTTTGTTGTTTATTATATGTTTAACTGGAATTTTATTGTGGCGAATCTAATTTTAAAACAACAATTTTAGCTAGCCTTTAGTAATACCTTTGGTAAGTTATATAAAAATTATTTTACAATTATGAATATCTGCATCATATGAATAAAATCATTTTTTCTAGGTAATGGAGTTGGATGATTTTTTTAATACTGCACTTGTAGGTTACGAAGAAGGAAGAAGAAATTTACTCTTTGAAGATGTACGTTTGTTGGAGGATAGCCTCAATAAAACTCAAAATGTTCTGGAGGTGTTATCTGTTTTTTTAGCATTTGTTGTTAATGAGGGTCGTTTACAGCATTTGTTGGTGCAAATTTATCAGTTATTCTGGTCACTATTGTCCAGTTTGAACTCAAAATTAGCAGGTATGAGAAATTTGTAGGTTGTATTATATACATGTATACAGGGTTCCCAAAAAGTCAGCGATATTCTTTGACAAACTGATAATTTTTTGATATTCTGTCTTAATTATGTCCCAAAAGTCAGTGATATCCTTTGGGACACCCTGTATATTGTTTATATTTATAAACAAAAAAAAATATTTAAATTTTTTGTTGCGTGATAGGGTAAATTTTTGAAAATTCGAATTTTGACTATTTTTGTAATGTGGAAAATTTATGAGCAACCTCTAAACTGATTTTTGGAAACATGTGTATAGTACTATACAGGGTGTCCCATAATTAGGGTGCAATACTTTAACAGCAGATTCTACATACAAAAATAAGAAAAAAAGTTCCTATAAACATAGGCCGAGAAATGCTTTTTAAGGGAACTGCAGCCTTTAAATGAGGAGCCCTTGAAGATAGTTTTTATTTAATATATCCAAAACCGTTTAAGGTAGAAAAGTAAAATTTTGGGAATTAATTAAACTTTTTATGGCCAATAAGATGTAATAATACCTAACAATTCAAAATTTCCATGAGGGGTGGGTCAGATATAGGGAATAGGGGTTAAAACCACCCTAACTTTTTGTATTTGTCTCGTGCTAGGATTTGATGTCAGATTATGAAATTTCGGAATTTTTGTTTTTGCTTAAAATCCATTTAAAAATTACATTACATAGCATAAAAGATCATAATGAATTCACAAGAGAGAAAAACTCAGAGTAGGCCATGGAACACAGCTGCCATCTTTATGAAAAATTATTTAAGACAGGTGACAGTTTCATGTAATATGTGACAGGGTGTTTAAAAATTGTCCATGGCCTACGCTGAATCTTTTTTTCTAGTTGTGATTTCATTATGAATGTTTATGTTATGTAAGGTAATTTTTAAATCGATTTTAAGCGAACACGGTGCATGCTATCGAAGTTCATCAAGAGAACCTTTTTGTGTGTAAAACTTTGAAATTTTATGATCTAATACCAAATCATAGCACAAGATACGTACAAAAAGTTAGGGTAGTTTTACCCCCACTCCCTTTCTATCTGACCCACCCCTTATGAAAATTTTAAATTTGTTATCATTCCAACTTATTGGCTATAAAAAGCTTGATTATATCCCAAAATTTTACTTTTTTATCTCAAACGGTTTTGGAGATATTAAATAAAAACCATCAACAGGGACTCCTCTTTCGGGGGCTGTAGCTCCCTTGGAAAGCATTTCCCGACCTTTTTTTATAGGAAATTTTTTTCTTATTTTTGTACGTAGAATCTGGTGTTAAAGTATTACATGCTAATTATGGGACACCCTGTATAATAATAATTGGAAAATTACCTTTACTTTTATATTAATAATTCCAAAAATATGATATGTAAATATGTATTTTATTATAGTTTAACTGCATTTTTGTAAAATTACAAAAATCATGTAATTATTGTAATATTATAAAAAATATTCTATATTTACAAAATTAAGAGCCCAGAATCATATCATTTGGCCCAGACAATATTTTATTTTTTACATTATTTCAGACAATATATTGGTAAACAAAAGAAATATCTATTGAATCCAACTATTATTATAATAATAGTTGGATGTAATAGATTTTTCTTTCGTGTTTACCAATATTGTCTGAAATAAAAATAGTAACAAATAAAATATGTTTTTTTTTTGTCAGATTGTGAAGCAGTTTCGGATTCTCCGAGCTTCTTTCCAAATCGTAGCAGTAGTGGTTTAGCTGGAAGACCTGCTGTAAAAATTACCCATGAACAAATTACTATACTTCGCAACTTAGGAATGACATGGATTAACATTGCTAGTACACTGAAAATTTCTCGAAGAACCTTATATAGGCTAAAAAGTAAATTTGATATAAATGAGAGCTGCTTTATTCCAGATGAAGAACTAGATTTAATAATTTCTGATATCATACGCAGCACACCAAATTCTGGAGAATCATATGTAAGGGGTAGTCTGAGGTCACGTAATGTAACTGTTCCAAGGTGGAGAGTTAGGGAACGATTAGAAATTCTTGATCCTATTGGAAGAGCATTAAGAAGACATAATACAATCGTTAGGAGGAAATACACAGTTAAGGGGGTGAATTATTTATGGTAAGTACTGTACCTACATGAGATTTTTAGATTAGCTCTTATGTTAACAAGCTCACATAATTTTACTAAATAGTACTGTATGTACCCAAATTACTATACATATAGTATACTACAGTAGGGTGTTCCAAAAAAAGTCGATATTTTTTTTCACTTATTCCTTAATATATAGTAGAATATGTCGAAATCAGTCAAAAGCGCATTCCTTAATTTTAATTTCAAGAGGTCCATCATCAAACTTGAAAATTATTCCGTTCGGCAAACTTTTTTTTTCATAACATTAGTTGCCAATCCTAATTCAGCATTAAATTCGTGAGTGAATATTTCGGAACACTCTAATTTTTTAATAATGACGTAAAATCGAAAAGTAAAGAAAATCGATTTTATATTAAACAATGTACCACAAGACCCCCTTGCCATTTAAGGTTGTTTAGTTAAGGGTTGTAGGGTGCAGGGCTGCCTTAAAAACATGTATTAAAAAATTAGATTTTTTTAAATATTTATATATTTGTTAAAGACATTAAATCTGCCCTGCTAAGTAACAAGACTTATCTACAATATTAAGTAATAAAGGACAAAATATCATTTCGATTGTTTTTAATAGCGAAAATGTTTTTTGTCCTCTATTACTTAATATATATGTCGTTTTGGCTATGTAAAAATGTTGTTTTAGGCATATGGACTCAAATCACAAGCTAATTAGCTTCAGAATGGTGTTCCATGGTTGCATTGATGGGTTTAGCCGAATGATAATTTACTTGCATTGTTTAAATAATAATAAAGCTGAAACTGCTCTGAATTGTTTTGAGAATGGTGTGCTGCAGTTTGGGCTACCTAGTAGAGTACGCGGAGATAGAGGTACCGAAAATATAGCTGTTGCTAGATACATGATTGCACAGAGGGGTTGTGACAGAGGAAGTTTTATCGTCGGTAGATCAGTTCACAACCAGAGGATTGAAAGACTCTGGTCAGAGGTAAATCGTATTGTTTCAAAACAATATAAAGAATTGTTTCTGTATATGGAAGAGCAAAATTTGTTAGATGAAAATGATGAAATTGATCTCTTTAGTTTGTCTTATGTATTCTTACCACGTATAAGAAGGTCCTTAGAGGAATTTGTAAGACAATGGAACTTTCACGCATTAAGTACGGAACGTAAGTAGAAATAAAGGATCTTTAGTTTTCTTCTATCGTTAACAATATAACATTTTTTAGGGTACAGATCTCCAAGTCAAATTTTTTTTACCTCTACAATAAGCGGACAATGTGTAAATGATGAGGACCCTTCATATATAGAAAATCCTCAAGAATACGGAATCGATTTTATGGGCCCATTACCGGAGATTGAAACCGAGAATCATATTGAAGTTCCCAACTTTGAAATTAGTCTTACCAATAATCAAATGTTGTTTCTAAGAAATCAACTTCTTGATCCACAAACTAATGGTGACGAATCAGGCATTTTCCATTACATGGCTGTGCGCAACTTAATACGTGGTTTTTATAATATGTGAGAACTGAGAAGCAGTTAAAGATACCAAATTTCGTGGAAATTCGACCAGCGTCTAATCATAATCACTTCAAATCTTTTCTAGTTTCTTATCTTAAAAGGCCTCAAACCGGAAGTGAATGAGCTTATTAAAAAATGGCCTTCTGCGATAGGTTTATAAACCGGAAGTGAACAAGCAGATTTAAAAAAAATAGGCCCAAGATAGGTAACTATAGCTATAGCACATAAAAATGTTTGGAGTGATTATGAAATGGTCAGACGGTGGTCAAATTTCGGTGGAATCTCCCAGGTACAAATGTACGATGTATTTAAAAAATATTTCTTTTTTTTATTTTAATAAAATACTATCATTATAGTGGTAATTTTTTTATTATATTTATTTAAATGCCATTTCTTTTGAGGGAAATGGTATTTATGTCTTGACAAAAATTAAAATTGTTTTCTTTAGCACAAAACAAAAAATAAAATAAACACAAAAAAACAATAATGCTTACAAACAAAATATCTATATAAATAAAAATATATATTTATATAGTGTGTCCACAGATGGACTTAACTATAGGTAGGTATTTGTAAAAATATTTCTGTTTGTATATACAGTGTGACCCATTTGTTTGCAACTCATCCCTGTAAAATCTTTATTTATTGTGCGATTTTAAGTGTAGATCGATAAACTGGATTTTTGGAGCAAAAAACGCCATATTTTTAGAAAATACAAGGCCTATTATGTCAGTTTTTAAGAGCAAAGCACGGCACTGGATTCACCACCCCTTAAAACGACCCTATACTAAATTTTATTGAAAAATTTGAAGTAGAAAAATGCACAATACTAACTACAAAAATTTATTCTGTCAAGTTATTCATGAAAAAAACATTGAAATAAAATTAAACTAATAGTAACATGGTACTATTACTATAAGTTTAATTTTATTTCAATGTTTTTTTTTCATGGATAACTTGACAGAATACATTTTTGTAGTTAGTATTGTGCATTTTTTTACTTCAAATTTTTCAATAAAATTTAGTATAGGGTCGTTTTAAGGGGTGGTGAATCCAGTGCAGTGCTTAGATTTTGTTTAAAAAAATCGCTTATATGAATTCTTAAAAATTTACTCTTAAAAACTGACATAGTAGGCCTTATATTTTGTAAAAATACGGCGTTTTTTGCTCCAAAATACAGTTTATCAAGATCTACACTTTAAAACAAATCCGGTTAAAATCGCACAATAAATAAAGATTTTACAGGGGTAAGTAGCAAACAAATGGGTCACACTGTATATATATATATACATATATAAATTAAAATTGCATTCTTTGGCAAAAAACATGATAAAACAACAAAGCAATGGCAGCTTTTAAGGAAAATGGTATTCGTCTTAACGACAATATAATTTGAAAAAAAAACAAAATGTCCTTGTCCTAGTAAACTAAGCAAATCCGAATTGATCAGTGTTGCCTATACCAAAATTCAAGAAATTCTTGAATTCTTCGTATGTTTTATGAATTGTAGGCAAGTGTAAATTCAAAGCACACGTATTTGCGGTTGGATATATACTTTGATCGTGTAAAAATTTTATTGTTGGTTTTAAATCGAAACCTAGGGGTGGAATCTCGTCAGCTCCAGTACAAAACACCAAAATTTCTTGTGTACTAATTTCATTGTCTCCTTCTGCAAAAGAGTTTTATATAAATAAATAAGAAAAATGATATGTATGCAAACCTTCAGCATCTAAAACATAGTCTCTCCAAAAAGTTATGATTCTGTTCTCAATTTGTCGCTTTGAACTACCAACTTCACTAAAATCTATTTCGTACATTTGTTCAAAAGTATTTGCAGTGATTGGCCCCTGATCTCCACACAAAAATTCTTTAAAAATATTTGGATAACTCTTAAACAAAGTTAAAATATTTCCCGTACTAAGGCCTTCTTGAAACTGCTCCAACGCAGGTCGTAGCCTATGAAAACCATAGAACTGCACAATATCTGCAAAAAAAAGATTTAAAATGCATCAATGGTCGAATTATAATCAATACCCTGAACTAATTTTTCTCTGTCTTCTATGCTTTTTACAAAATGGCAGCCAGCAATAGCAAATAAAGGCTCTTCTGTTATATATTCCTGCAGTAAGCTAATATCATCTATTTCATATAATTTTGCAATTTTCTCCTTTAAATGGTATTCAATATCATTTAAGTTAGGTGCTGTATCAGAGATTCCAGTTGTTAAAATTAAAAACAAGTTTTCAGAAAAAAAGTGCAGTGCTGGACCTCCGTGTAATAGAGAAAGGCAAATTAAACGACCTGCCTCAAAATAGTGACGGTTTTCTAGCAACTCCAAATCTAGGCGAAGATATTTTTTGTTCTCGCCAAAGAATAAACTACAGTTTTTGATGTAATTCATAGACAACCGAAGCATTTCGCGCGTTGGGCCTCCAACATCAACAGCCCCTTCGGAGACTCCTTCAACATCACTAAATTTTACAGATATCTTATTAAATATATTAAAGGATTTTCTATTCATGGCCTTAATGCAACATTTGAAAATATCATTTCTGTAAACATTAAAATGAGAGATTTTTGTATTATCTATTTTGCGGTGTAAATTTTGAAGAATTCCTTCCAATGTCTCTACCTCCTCATTTAGGTCTACTAAACTATTTCTAATTGCTAATGCAAGATCTTCCTCAAGTGTATTTTCAGTATACTAGAACATGAAAAAGTAGATGTAGAACAAAAGAAAGAAATTACAGTTCAACAAACATTAGGTACTTTAATTTTTTTTTAATGCAACTGACAACTTTATGCTAATCATTAAGGTATTATTATTACGTACTACGTACTTGATCTAAAATTTACTAAAAAAACTATTCAAGCTTAAGTTACAGGGTTGTTTAGACAGGCCTGCTTTCTAAAAGTCATGGGTTTAAAGTCTTTACTTTATATGACCACGTGCATTTTTTGTGTTATAAAAAAACAATGTGTACATACAAAACGCCATAATGGCCGCCTAAAAAATGATATAAAAAATCCGGCACACGGTGGCAATATTTCTTCGACTTTTGTTGTAATTTTCAGGTATTTAAAGAGTCATCTTGAGCTTTAACCAAAGCCAAAATTTTTAAGAGGTTGCTCAAAAATAGTACACAAAATATGAATAAATTTCTTAAAAAACTGTTCTTTAATTTGTAAATATCAAAAGCAATAAATTATATATATTTTTTAAATTATGAGCGGCTTCTGGAAATTCATATTTTTAAACTTTTATGAACTTATCTGGATACAAAAATTTACCTTAAGCAAAAAATGTAAGAGTTAAATCTTGCAGAGGATTCTTCAAATACTACAAACTTAGGTCCCCGGTTGCACAACATTGTGTCGAATTGGACACAAATCGTCACGGTTTCGTCACGTTGTGCTAGCTGGGGTACATTTTTGATGCGGAAAATAAATGAAAAAAATATTGCCACCCTAATATATCTGTTCTCAGAGGTTCAGGAGAAGCCAAGTTTTTAAACTCATTCTAGGTTTTCTAGTTTATATTTTTTATAAGTGAACACAAATTATACCACTCACACTAGTACAGGTTAATAGGGCACTAGTACTAGTTGGTACTAAGTTTATACAAATATCTCATAAAAATTGTTCACATTTGGCCAAAAATGCCTAAAAGGGTCCAAAACGTGGACATTTGATAAAATTTTGACATTCAAAAAAGGTTAAAACAATAGCTTTCACAGCTCTTGTTACCTATGAAGCAAAAATTATATACATACGTCATTTTCAGAATTTGCTGGGGAAGCTCCAGTTGGGTTTGAAATTTCCAATTGTGGTTCAATATGATTTTCTGAGGCAATTTTTCTAATGTATACAGCTTTCTGTATAAAAATTGCCTTCATATGCATACCATCCAGTGCTTTTCCTTGGGGAAGGTTGGGTTTAGTTAGCCTGCCCCCTATAGGTACCATAATTTCAAAATCTGCTTCTTCCAAATGTACAGGAAATAAACCTTTTAAACATCTATTAATTTCTTCTACACTCCAGTTAACATTAAACTGTACTCCTGATATTATAAGTCCTAAAAAGTTTCATACATAAAAAATATATGGTAATAATAATTAATGAAATAAAAAATTTAAAAAAATACCTCACCATTACCTACGATCATTGTCTGTGGGTATCGAGGTGGTTATTTAGGTAACTTTTTAATACAATAAAAAAATCATTTAAATTTAAGTACAAAGGTAAAACAAACCATTTTCTGTAGCATAAAATTTGTCTATCCCTTTTAGAGTATTTAAACGATTTGGATTTGTAACCAAGTATACATCCTTCTGAAAGTTTGATTCCAATTTTCTTTTTCTTTTACATCGCCTATTCTCAGGTCCACTTAAAGAAGGTCTAATGCTTGGGAAAATCCTATGTATTTCTTGAGAAATTGAAGCACTTCTAGAGGCCATAGGTGTATTTGCTGGTGTACTTGATGGTGGTAATAAATGACCACTCGGACCACTCTGAGAAATGGCATTTTGTACCAGCGAGGATGACACTGGCAAAAGACTGGAGCTATGACTTCTATTGCTACTTAAATTTCTCACTGTATTCTCCAGAGTATTCCTTAATTCTGGGCTACGCAAAACTTCCGAAACTATGTCGTCAAGATTTGGTTCCATTACTACGGTGAAATGCTATTTATTCTGTTGTTTTTTTAATTTAAACTTATACCCAAATGCTTTATTACTTACCAAAGGTAATATTATTTTAATGAATCCTTTAGTTTTAGAAAGATAATCACTACCACAATAAACTTTCAGTTGAACATATAATAAACAACAAAAAACCAAAGCGCGGCAAAAAAACTGCTAAAACCACAGTAATTCCCACATGAAATGACAGACAGGCTGCGTTGCCAAGTTAAATAAAGCTGCCAGCGCCTCCTGGCGTTACGTCTTGTAAGCTGAGTTTATATTATTAGTATCAAAATTATATTATTAGTTAAACTGTCCATATATATAAATATTTTAAATATATATTATTTGGTAAAAATATTATTATATTTTAGTAAAAATAATATATATGTTATAAAATAAGCTAAAATATATATATTTCCGACAAAATATTTATATTTTAAACAAAATATATATATATTTTAGAAATTATTATATATTTTACAAATCATAATTATGGCACAAACGGCGCCTCATAGGAATTAAATGACATTTTAAATATGGGCCGTTCTCACTACATTAATTCTGAAATGCAATTTTAAAACTTTTACATCAACATCTTGTTTAAAATTACAAACTATTGTCAAAGAAGCCAACTAAAAGAATTAAGAAGCTCAAAGTCAAATTGACTGTTTTATAGCATTAGGTTGTGAAATTTAACTTCAAAATACTGGTAGCTAGGCTTGTGGTAAAAAAACTTAAGTTGCATAAATAAAGATGATTATTTATTAAAAATCTGAGAAGACCATGCAATGCCACTCAATTAAGTCATTTTTTCCTCGCGATTTAGTAGGTCATTCCTTTTAACGAGCATATACAAAGCAAATAATTAACAACCGTAGACAATAAAATAGCACCTAGCTCGTTTATTTCATAACAATTATAAAAATAATAACAAACTAAGTAGTTTATTTCACAAGATACTGAAATCTTTACTCATAACCTTTTACTACACTGTGCAACAAAAACTTGGCAACGCTGTGTGCCCAACAGTTAAACTATTAAATATTTTATTTTTATTAAGAAATTGTTAATAACAATTAATTTACGACAAAATAATTTTTGTACTGCTTAACTCATGATTCAAAGAAATGTTAAGTTACAAGGCTAATTTCGACATTGTTGTCAAGTTCAAGAGCAGTGTTGAAAAATCGGCAATCATAAGAGGGGTATGTAAGGTAAAAAATGGACCGAGCTTTTCAAGGTGGTTGTATACAACTATTGAATAAATTACTGGTTTGCGTTAATAACATTGTCAAACATTAATATATTGTTGTGTGCGATGTAAACTTGGACATCATCCTTAAGAAGTATTGTGCAACTTTTTTTTATTAATTGGTTTAACAAGGTTGGTGGAAAACATCGATACGTGAGGCGGCATAGAGATTATTGACCAATCGTAAGCGCTAAGTTGCTGTCAAATAGTCCTTAACCCAACTTTTGAACGTCACGTCTGACTAATTAATAATATTTGAATGGATTTTAATATTTAAAGGATTTAAAATACCAAAAATGTTATGTCGGTTGTAAAAAATGATGGCGCCAAGAACAGGAATTTAAATCCGTCTTGACATTTATTAGCAGCAGAGAATATTCAAAATAAATAAAATAATAATATCAAGTTTTAAACAGAATTGTTAATTGCTTAAATTTCTTCTTTATTACTAATAACCTTTTTTTAGTTATAAAAAATAATTTTCACAAGATTCCGTTGAAAAAAAAATGCGATTGGAAGATTTTTTTGTGAATTTATGACACAATAAACAATAATCATTATAATTAAGCAAGAGGACTAAATAAAGGAGAAGTAACTTTTAACCCCAATGATAATAAAATATAAATTATTGAGGTTACTCTGTACATAATACAATATATGTATTTTTTGAGTATAAATTGTATTTTCAGAAAATTTGCGTTAAAACTATTTGTTAGGACTTATTGGTGTGAAGCAAGTTACTCCTCCTTTATTATATATATATATATATATATATATATATATATATGGGTGCTTTTTTTACGACTATTTTTATTTTTTCGCTCCCAACTCAAAATCTTGTTGAAATTGTTCAAAGTATTTTCCCTGAAAATTTGAGCCCTTAATATTAACTCAAAGTACTCTACCAAAGCGTATAAAGATTTCCCATTTAAAATACACGTAAACTTTGATTTTTTTTAAATATCTATATCTCAGCCGCATTTTATTTTATGGATTGTTTCGTAAAAAAAATGCTTTATGTGCCATAGCTGTAATCTGCACCTGTAGAATTATACGGGTCACTAAATCTTATTTTATTGAAAAATTCTCATATTTTTGAAGATATTTCAAAATTGACTGGATTCTTTGAAAAAATGTAAAGGGCAAACTTGTAGAAAATTTAATTTTCTTTAAAAAAGGTCTTATCAGTTGAATCACTAAGATTGATATTTGTTGAGATATAAAGCGTTTACATTGACATTTTATGAAATTTTCAGGATTTTCGTACCAAACTATTTATAAATGATGATTTTCAATTGTTTATCAGTACAATTTCATGTAATTACGTTTTTTCTACAGTCGGGTGATTAGAGAAAAATAAATATCTAAAACAATCAAGCATAATTATTAATAAAATAACATTTTGTATGTAATACACCTCGTTATATCAATTTTTAGGTAAGATATATCTTTTCTCTTTAAAGTTATGCTAATTTACACAAAATCTAACCTAAAGTCAAAAAAATATCAAAAATAAAAAAGCAAGCTAAGATAAGGATGAAAAAAGAACAAGAAAAAGATTAAAACGATTTTTTGAATACTACTGATTTATGACATTTAAATAGCTAATGTGTTAAAAAAATAATTTTAATAATATGTTTTGTTTTTACAAAGTTTTAGAAAGATTGACCGTCTGGATTGTGAGTGAAAAAATATTAAAGTTGCTAAGATGATCTGATATCATTTATTATTGCTAACTGTGTTGTGAATTTTAACAAAAATTTATGGGCCACTTTTACAAGTATAAGTGTATACTAAAAAAATCATCGATTTCTATACAGCCCATATCTTTAACTAATTTGGTGACTACCATAATTTCGTTTTTAAATTAAATAATTAAAAAACACCCAATTGTATTAAGTTATTTATTATATATTTTCTTAAAAGAATTAAACAATCCTCACATGGATTTTACTCTTTGTTTTCTGCTCTTCTCTTTAGACTTTTGCTGCATTCTTCATACTATACTAATAATTTTTTTTGTAGTCGTTTTGATAACTTCATTTTAGATTTTAAATAACACTGCATATAGAACTGTCACTGCCACTGTCGAAAGCGAAAGGCGTTACCATATAAATTCTATTTTTTATGTTTTTTAATTTACGTTCTTGTGTAACATTATATACATATATATATACTAGGGTGTCCCAAAAAAAAGAATATATTTTTTTTTCTTGCCTCTTGTAAAAATATGTTAGTTTATCATGCTGTGAGAGCCCTTTCAAAATATCAGCTCGATTAAAAATTTTGTAGGGGTCGCTCAAGATTTTTAAAAATTTTCAAAATGGTCAAAAATTGAATTTTTGTTTTATTTTAATTCTTTTTCTCGTCTCGATATTATTTTTTAGGTTGAAAATAATAAAAATTCTGTAAATTTCAAATCAATATTTTGATTTCTAAAGGTCGCTAAAAGTTCGTTGATATTTATATTCAGAGGTCGCTCGAAAACATTCAAAATACTCTACTTTGAAAGTTAAAAAAATCTTGAGCGACCTTTAGAAATTAAAATATCGATTTGAAATTTTCAGAATCATTATTATTTTTAAATTAAAAAATAATATCGGAAAGAGAAAAAAAATTAAAATAAAAAAAACTCCAATTTTTGACGATTTTGGTAATTTTTAAAAATCTTGAGCGACCCCTAAAAAATTTTTAATGGTGCTGATCTTTTGACAGGGCTCTTCAAACATGACAAACCAACATATTTTCACAAGAGACGAGAAGAAAAAAAATATTCTTTTTTTTTGGGACACCCTAATATATACGTATGTAGTGCTTTTTGTATTAAAATAAAAAATAACTATAAAATAAGTTAAAAAATTGTGTTTTTAACTCAAAAAATACTTTACAGAAAAAAATGATTTTTATATACATGACATGTTTTATGGAATATATTTTTATGCTTACATGTGTACTATTATTACTAGACGTAGATCCTTTGGAACTTTTCGAACTGTGAGCTAGTGTAGGTCTTGGTATATGCCAACTCTTTTCGAGATCTGCAGGGATCTGAAAAAAATAAAATTAACAAACATTAAATAAGTAAATAAATAAAAATGTAAATAATCCTGACTATCCCATAATCCTAATAAAGTGGAATATTTTGTGATCGGCATTAATGTTAATGAATTCTCCATATAAATATTTATAAAATTATCGGGTTAATTGAGATGTATTAAGTAAATGTGCATTTTATAATAAATTTATTACATAAAGGCGATTGCCTTTCACTGTAATTGTCTTATTTAATGCATCCCAAATCAACGTATAATACTTTCGCTATATTTATTACAATTTTATAATTTTGGGCAACATTAAAATTCTAAAATTCAAAGGTTTTTTCACAAGGACACAAGTGTTAATTAGTATTATTAAAGGAGTGTACCTTTTGTTTATTTGGTGAGGTTGATTTTAGCAGGTATGCGCCAGTTTTTAAAAGCTAATAAAAAATTAATTAATAAGTAGGTGTGCGGCTTTTTTTACTTTGCCGTCCTTGCTGTAGAACATGTAATTATTAATATAAACAAAAAGCGCTAAATGTAGACCGCGAATGTAACAACAATAAAAGTAAAAAAAAATAATGGCGAATTTACATTTTGCCTTGGAGAACTAGTTTTATTGCAGATAGTGAATAGGGTGCTATGTAAAAGGTGACAGGAAATGAAGTTTATTTATTTTTTACTTTTATTATTTAACTTGTAAAATTCAATTATTGTAACAGTTTTTAAAATTAAGGAAAAATAATAGAAAGGATTTTATCCTTTCATCCAAAAAACATAACACTGGTCGACAGCAATTTTGCCACATGGTCACAAATGTTGTAGCTTCATCAATCTACTTTATTGTGTTAAAATTTTAACGCAATAAAATAAAAAATTGGCACTCATATTGAGATATTTCATTTACATTCTTACAAACAAATCAAAAGAAAACAGGTTTAAATTTGGCCCGTCAAAAAATAATTTCAATAAAAATGTTTTTCAATTTATTAGTAGAAAATTTTATTCCCAAACTTGTAATATATTCACATACTGTTGACCTACGCCACAAGGATTTCTAACGTCCTTTCAAAATATTTTATCAATTTCAACGTTGGTCGTCAACAAAAACGATCAAAACAGAGTTCACTCGGGAGGAGATCCGGTATTTTAATTTTAAGACCATCCGTTAGCAAGGTCGTCTATAAATCCATAAATAAATAGATTTTTTGGATGTCAGCAGCCTATCTAAAGGTTACTGTCATTTACACCAAATACTGTATTGCAAATTATTAAACGACGAGGGATTCCCCGCCGTGAAACCAGTAATTAACAAAACTTTAACGAAATTTCATTTAAGTTAGTTATAAGAAATTTTATTTTGATTTATTTACTTTTTTTAGGAGTTTTTAGGGTATTGATTTTAAAGCTAATGGATATATTGGTTCTTTTTTTGTCAAAAAAAATATTAGTTTTTTGTCAATAAAAAAAAATGACCAATTTCTCTAAGATGATACTTCTGCAGCTTTTGCACAATATAACATATTAAACTTAAAATAATTTTAATCATTTAAACATGATTTTTACTTGCTCTAATAATCGTGGTTAGAAATTAACATTATTAATAGAAAATTTAGCAAAACTATTGCAAATTGAATGACCAAACATTTCCTTAATATCACCAGCATAACCATTATTTATTGTTTATAAAAAGGCATTTACATTATTTTCGTAAGAACTAATTAAAAAGCAAGTTTTGACATTGGACCTGACTTATAACCCCACTTAAGCAGCAATTTAAGTAAAATAGTCGAGTTTTGCAAATTAATTTTCTTAATACCCAGAACTCGCGCTAATAGCAATGGAGATGCCAAATTTAAGAATAAAAATAGTGTAATCAAATGATAGCAAAACAGCGGCAGCCAATAACAAGAGATAGAACAACAATGTTCTAATATTTTTAAAAATATTTTGTCCGACTGTTTACTAACCATTCAACAAAAAATGTCATATTTCAGGACGGGTGCTGCACTTGCGTAAAATGAAAGTCCTTCATAACCGGCTGAACTGTGAACAGGAAATTCGCGTTCAACTTTCCTTATGCTCTTCCTACTATTTGCATCAAAGCCATTGAAAATAGCTCTTTTATTTTCCGCGGATTGGGAAAGCGCTTGGAAAAAACTCGTGCTGCCTCCCTTGCATTGCGCCCATACTCTCCATAAATAATAAGAATTTCGGCATAATCGGAGGAGGAAAACAACTTAAAATAATAAATAGTGGCAGGAACCAAACATGACAGCAGTGTCACAATAAAGTGGATTCCAGTGAACCCAACATTTTACATATTATACTATTAACAATGCATCTTAAGCCTGATTTATAGATTGCCTTCCTTCCTTCCTCCCGTAGAAGATGAACAATACGATAACCGTAGTGCTGTTTATAGATTGCCGTACGGTAATCTATAAACCGCACTACGGTTTTCGTATTGTTCATCTTTTACAGGAGGAAGGAAGGCAATCTATAAATTAGGCTTTAAGTATCCTAGCAATTTAAAGAATTCCCTTAGTATTGGGATTGGCTATCGTTTTTTATTCTTATCTCGCTTATCCTTATCCTGTATAAGTAAATATGTTGTTAAATTAACCTTAATGTAAAAAAACAAGTGTATAAGTAGGGTTGGGAAAATTTCACTTTTTGCTTGTACTTGAAATTTCACTTGAAATTTTCATGACATTTATGAATTTTATTAAAATTTCCTAAATTTCTGAAATTTCATGAAATTTATGAAATTTATTGAAACTTTCAATAAATTGCAATCACTTTAAGTGTAATATATTAATATTGAAATAAGCCCACTCGGGGATCATGGCAAATTGCCGCTCTTACCTCCTACCCCTCTGTGGGCCCCTGCACCAATAATATAAATAGTAAATAGCTATGTTTACCACAAATTTCTTGATATTTCCTTTTAAAATATTTTTAAAATTAATAAAACTAAAAGAGATATAGCACTTTTTGGTAAGCTAATGAGATTGTGCAACTTTCATTGTTTTATATTTATATATATTTATTATTTTTAAATATTTTACTGAAATTTTACGAAAATTGAAGAAACTTCATCAAAATTTTATGAGCCAAAGGCATTTTTTATCCGTTTTCCGATGGAATTATAACAAAAGTAAAAGTTTAAATTTATCATGACTTTTAAAAAAATTTAAAGTCTGATTTAATTTACAAATTAAATTGGTAACTGAATTAAATTATTAAAACCAATTTATGCATATAAGTAACAATAATTACTTATGGTGTATTCAAATCCAAGCCGAACTAAATAAAAACGCCCAGACGCTTGATAACTCGTTTTTATTGGTCGATTCGGAATCTGTTGTAAATTATTATTATTAAAGGTCCCAGGGGAGGCCGCATGTGAAATTAATGCGAAATTTTCAGTAAATTGCGAAACTTTCAATAAAATTTCAGAAACTTTCACAGGCAATGTTAAAATTTTCGGATTGAAAATTTCATTTGAAATTTTTAAAAATTTCACTTTTCCAACTAAATGAAATATTTCAAGTTTGAAACTTTCAAAGTTGAAATTTTCATTTGAAGTGTATAATAAATTTCTATGAATTTATAGGAATAAAAATGTTTTATCCGCAGATTCTTAACATTCCTTCAATTTTATTAGGTCAAAGACAAAACAAAAAGGATAACGCACGCATAAAACGTGTAAAAGACGATTAACAAAATCCAAAACAAGCAAATTTGTCACGATAATGCTTCTATTATACGATTTCGAAATGCCCGCACCTAATTTAAATGCATTATAAAAGTAATCGCAACGTAAAAAAAATCATTAAGGTTATTATTAAGTAGAGTTTGCGATTATTACAAAATTCATTTTGAATTTGTAGCAAAATTTATTTGTGTATTTTATTAATAATTTTCGTTAACATTGACACACAAACTGACAATTTGTTGGTCATGAAAATTTTATTAGACGTTACGCAACAGTTTTACGTTTAAGAAGGATACTTGTTGGAGTGATCAAACAAAATTTCTTCGTTCACTTTCTTTTAACGAATCGCACGTGCCATGCAGCACATTCGCAGCAGGCATTGCAAAATAACATGTAATTGTTTCCAATGGCGACCACATTCATAAGACTAAAATTAACCAATTTAAAATTATAAACGTGGTATTCAAAGCTGTTTTTATTTTTGTTTCAAAATTTTAACAGAAAAGATTTTTTTACTGTTTTTGGTTATGCTATACTGTACTATATTATTGTATAAAAGAATAAACAATTTACAAAGGACGATTTAAAAATAAAACTGTCGATCAGTTTTAACTTCAGCTCGCTTCAGATCCTTTGTATGTTTTAGACAGCGTTGTCGATTTTTTTTAAACTTAATAACTCGAAAACATTTTAAATCACCAAGTTAAAAACTTAAACGTTTTGTTCAAGCTACATTGGCTCTAATAATTATGATTAATTATCAGTAGACTAATGCTAATGATAAATTTGTTCAAAGAAAATAATAATTGTATGTCGTGTAATTAATAAATTTGCATAGGCTTTATATAGAGGTGTGGAGCTATTAACAGGCTAATTATAAGCATTAAAAAGATCAAACTGCTTATGTTTAAAAATTGACCATTAACTAAGCAAGCTAAGTATTGGTTTATTATTAATTTTCTAATATATAAATCTAAGGCCATAAGTTTGTTAATAATTAATTATTTTCTTATCAGTGCGTTTGAGGTCAACTAGGTATATCATTTTGTATTTTTTTGTAATTTATTTTTTTCTCCACTAAATGACTAAAAAGTTTATACCTAATTTAAATCAGGTTTCAGTAAAACATTAATTGTTAGCCACTTTAAAACTAGTAAACACATGTATAACAAAATTTAGCTTTTACTAAAAATTATATGGTTTTTAAACTTTAATTAGTAGGGAAATTTTTTAACTCGCAGAATATTTAGAATTAAATTTTTTTTTAGTTTTTTTGATAAATGTTAAGGTGTCAATATAATCGCAACTTATACTTTTTTACCTCTTACTCGTGGATTTTTGAAATATCTTTATTAATTTGTCTTATTAATTAAAATAAGCTTTTAAATATTTTCACATTTTTTCTGAAATTTTAGTTCAAAATTTTATTTTCATTCCTGTATCAGAGCCTCTTGTATGAGAGATTTAAAACATTTATTTGTCATATAAATAATTACATTATATTTATACCAATTAATGAAAAAAGTTCCTTGTCATATTAAGAGCTAGATATCTTAACCACTACACTCTTAAAATGAATTTAAATTTAAAAAAAAGTTATGACCCAGCCGGGGTTTGAATTCGGGTCTGTCGCTTGTCAAGATTGTGAAGCGTATGTCATAACCAATGAGCCATCAGTCACTTTTATAAAAATCAATTTTATTTGTCCATAAATATTGCTCATAATATTTTAAAGTTAAATACCTATATTTTTTGTGTTGCTGTTTTGAGTTAAACTTTTTGCATCCTTGTTTGTTTTTATGTGCCATTTAACCATGGACCCTTTTTGCATTTAACTATTAAAGAAATTAGTTACTTTTAACTCAGAAATAGTAAAAACTAATGACTAATCTTAAATTAGTCAAACTTTAAATATTTAAGTAGTAAAAAATGCTGGTACTAATTCAAATAATAGAATTTTGACTATTTTATTTTAAGAGAGTAGACCATACGGGATATACTTATATTAAACAAAAATTATTATTCCCAGCTCGCGATAAAACTCTTATATTTTTAGGAAAAAACAAAATAACACTTTTTTGTAAATCAGGTAATTTCCAATAAAAAAATGTACTACTCATTTCAAAATCCTAAGTTATCTGCAATAGTCGATTTTTTTAATCAACCTACCTGATGATTTAATGTATCTATTTTTGACACACTGTATATAGGTAATATACATAGAATGTCATAAAGGTAATAATTAATCTATGTAAATTTTGTTAAATGTTTTTCATTTAATAATAATAATAATAATCAAAAGGTATTTGTTTAAACCAATTAAATGGTGTAATTCATAAATTTGCGTGATTTATCTTTGAAGTCAGCACCCGCCCATATTTAATTTAGTTAGCATTTAATTGGTCTCGAGTTATACGCTTATTAGAAATTATGAATCAAATGACCATTTATCGATTAAATTGACAGTGCCAATTGCCCTGAAGTAAGCTTTGGAATTTTAAGTCGGCAACACTTGTCATATCATTCAATCAGTTGCACAAAACAGGAATTGTATGACATGTCAGATGTATGAACACATAGTTTAATAATTTTATAATGAAGTTAATTTAAAAAGTCGTCGATATTATTATGAAATTTACTGTGAGAAATCAAAACAATGTCAATGTCAGCTTGGAACAGGTTAGTCTTTCAAGAACACTTTTATTATGGTCAAAATTTATAAAAATAGATTGATATTTATAAAAATATCAATTATCAAAATAGCTTTGCAAATGTCAAATAGAAAAAATTTAATAATTTCACAAAAAAAGTTTTTTGCTAACATTTATTGATATAAAAAAAGTGTTTGGGTATACAGCGTGTTTCTACTTTAAATGGACAACGTAATAGAGGTTGTAGATCTATCTCATCTTATATTTATTTCAAATAAATATTTTCCAATTGGGCTTTTGTTTTTGAATTATCGACCTTGTTTTTTTATATTAACCGTTTTTACATAAGAATGTTTTACACAAAAATTGTAGGTAGATATCGAACTGACAATTTAAAAAACTTTAATTTTTGCAAACTCGGCCATAAATAACAGAGATAAAAAGGTTTATATAAAAACAGAAGAAGGCCTATAATTTAAAAAATCCCAAATAAAAAATACATATTTAATGAGATCTACAACCCTTATTACGATGTCCTTTTTGAGTGGAACTACCCTGTATACAAATAAATAATGTTTTGTGTTCGTCGTAGATAAAGTTTAGTATGCAACTTGTTTAAGCTCGTTCCTAATAAAACTCATAACTAAAATGGCGTTTATAAAACTTGATATACTATTTTATCTCGTGCAGGTTTTAATTGTCTGGTTTTTTAAATGTAATAAATTATAGGTCAATTAAGAGCGGAATTTTATTGTAATTACCTACTGCAAACAAACAAACGCTATGGCCTATTAGATATGCGTAAAGATAGTGATTGTTATCTTTTACAATTAACTAAGGAAGTCAAGGACCTAAATGGACTGGACCATAATTGTTAATTTAGGATTTTCTTTTATAAAACTTTTATATATAAAAATTTTAATATTGCATAATATTAACTAAAAATATATAAAATAATGATTATTTAATTATAGTTTAAAATCGGGTTCGTTGTCTACCGCTGATTGGGGTCTTCAAACTTTCATAAGAATAAAAAACAAATAGGTATTTATTAAAAATATAAAGTATAACCTGAACTAGGTATTACAAAACAATTTTTATAAAAGCCATTTTAGTCACGAATTTAAATTAGGCACGAGCGAGTGTTTAATTAAATGAGTGTCTAGAAAAGTTTATAAACGAGTTGAATACTATACTTTTTCTACGACAAAATCTTTTTATCTAAAAATGATTTAAATAAAATATTTGTATAAAGTGACGTCTACACGAAAATAAAGTAACCATCCAATAAACTTTTTTGACGTAATTTTCACCATTAACATTGCCCGTTATTATTTTAATTAAACTTAACAATTATTGATACTTTAAAATAATAAAATAACTTAAAATATGATTATGTTAAAAAAATATTTAATTCTGTTATTTTTTTTTATTACTATAAGTATTAAAAATTCGTACACGGGAAATGTTATAGGTGCAAAAAGTGACAGTTATTTATTTGAATTCCTGTTAGAATTTCTAACTTGGGAATCTACCGGCGTTAAAATCTCAAACTTTTCTGTGTAAAATTTATACATTGAAAATAGACAATTAATTTTTTCACAGTAAAAGAGAAAAGAATGTTTTATGGGCACTGTACGCAAAATTTTTAACACTCTACCAGTTAAATCTAGTTAACTACTACGGCGAAATCAAAAGGACAGTACAAACGTTTTTCAAATATTGGTGCCGAGAAACTATTTAATACTTTTGTATTTTTGTTTTGAGATTATAAAATAATTTTTACATTTACCTACTATTATTTTACAAGAAAGGTAGTTTATTTTAACGATTATATGACATTTGACGAGTGTCAACTTAAAACTAACTTCAACCCGTGACTAAAAACCTGTTATTAACTTCAACCCGTGACTAAAAACCTGTTGCTAACTTCAGCCAGTGACTAAAACTTGTCAATTTGTATTTAAAAAGATTACTTAGTGGCATGGATACATGTACGATAATGAGCGTTTTAAAGGTGGAAGTAGAAACAAATTTAATATTTTATACCGTTTTATGTTAGTTCAAAGATCGTATGACAAATCGTGTGTGAATGAGGAAACACTTTGTTTAGTTATGTTTGATTTTAAGTTTTTTTTTATTTTTGCATTAAATAATAAAACCTACGCAAATAAAAACATTGTTGACTTTTATTGAATAATCGGTTAAATAATTTTATCTTTAAATAACTTTGATTTTCTATTTTGCTAATTGATTTTAGTATAGCATTGTCATATGGTTAATAGTTGCTTTTTATATTGTAAAATTTTTAATTAATTTTAAAATATATTAAAATTTAAATAATTTAATGCAAATAAGATATTTAAAATCTATTAGGTATATCTACACATAACTAACAAGCCGGATCCTTATATTTTGGGTTCGTTTCTAAACTCAAAATATTCAATCTTGATCTTTGAATAACATTGTTTTATTTTTTTAATTTAAGCCCCTCATTATAATTTTACTTTAACATTTAATTAAATTTACATTTAATTATTTATAATAAATAATTAAAATAAAATTATTATTTTCCTCATTAATGATCCTATAAATCTAAAATCATTGACACAGTTTTATATATTTTGTTATTAATTTTAATAATATTATTTTTTGTATTAATATATTAATTAATTAATTTACATAAATAATTTGTCAGTGTTGGGATAGGTCAGGAGACAAACTTTTCGTATTTATTTCTTCTTCACTTACAATGTCTGGTACAAAACTGGCGTTCTCCATTTTGATTCTCGGATTTCGTAAATTTTCCTTTTTTCTTTAATAAAAAAAAACTAAAACTAACTGAAACCGAGATATATCATCCGCACTACCACACCACTCTCTTTAAGCAATCAATACTCCAGCACTGCCGGACGCGTACTGTCTACTAAAACGAGCCGTGTCCGACATTAACTTAAATAAGCGCGGTAGGCGACGTTGTCAAGTCGTTTTTGTTATCATTTTTTCGATATGACTGTTTTGGAAAAACCGTGCATTCCTTTGACATCCGTCCGGACAGTTTTTTACTTGGACTTCACAGAATTTTGGGATACCAATCCGGACATTGTTTTCTGAGATATTTTTGTTGAATGCCTGTATTTGCCTATTCCGGACATGTTTCCGAAATTGTTGTAAAATATTGTATTGACAAATGTCATAAGTATGTTTTTTTTTAGTTTTTCGTCTTTAAAAACAGTTTATTTAAGTATGCCGGACACTGTCATATAGATCCGGACACTCCCGGACAAGTGGGCGAAAAATATTTTCTTACAAAAAATCGTATTTTCGCAGGATCAAAAGTTGGTGGATGTGCTTATGTGAAAGAAGGTGTGGCAACGCTGGTAATCTGTGGTTCAGGGTCTGTGGCTGCACGCGACTAAGCGTCTGCAGTAACAGGATGCTGCGAGGATGGACCGCCTCGTAAGATTTATGGGAAAAAATGCCGATTTTTTCGGTCGATTGTTGTCTCTGAATATTTTTTTGCTATCGGTTTATGGCCGTTGTAGTAAATTCCGTGCAAGGTAGATTTATGTATGATTAAATGCTTTGGTTATTTTTAGATTCGTGTTTTATTAATTTCTTTACTCTGACCTTTAAAACGTCCATTATCGTACATGTTTCCATGACACTACGTGATTTTTAAATACAGATTGACAAGTAGTGGCTTTATGGCGATTTAGTCACGGGCTGAAGTTAGCAACAGGTTTTAGTCACGGGCTGAAGTTAGCAACAGGTGTTTAGTCATGGGTTGAAGTTAGTTTTAAGTTGACACTCGTCAAATGTCATACAATAGTTAAAATAAAGTACCTTTTTCTACTCCCACCTTTAAAACGCCCTTTATCGTACATGTTTCCATGACACTAAGTGACCTTTTAAATACTCATTGACAAGTTGTGGCTTTACGGCGCTTTATTTACGGGCTGAAGTTAGCAACAGGTTTTTAGTCACGGGCTGAAGTTAGTTTTAAGTTGACAGTTGTTAAATGTCACATAATCGTTAAAATAAAGTGCCTTTCTTGTAAAATAATACTAAATTTGAAAATTATTTTATTATCTCAATACAAAAGTATTCAATAGTTTCTCAACGCCAATATTTGAAAAGTTTATATGAACATTGTACTGACCTTTTAATTTCGCCGGCAGTAAACTATATCTTAAATTCGGGCACGGACTCCACTGTGAAAAACTGTCAATTTTCAAGAAAAACATTTCGATTTATAACCTTTATAATTGTGTTTATAAAGTAAATCTATAAAAAATTGACATTTGACGGTGACACACAGATTCCCCTATTGTTTCATAGATGGCGCTCTATACAAATTTTTGATTTAAATCATTTTAAGATAATAATAAGTATTTGTCGTAAAAAAAGTATGCACCTCGTTTATAAACTTTTCTATACACTCATTAATTTAAGCATTCGCTCGCAACCTCGCTCGTGTCTAAATTAAATTCGTGTATAAAATGGCGTTTATCAAACTTGATACATAATATACTATTCTTGTAAAATAATACTAAATGTAAAAATTATTTTATTATCTCAATACAAAAATACAGAAGTATTATACTGCCCTACTATGGAGAAAGGCAGTAACTGCAAAAAAATGCAAAATGCGTTTTCTTGTGCTATGGTAAAGCTATGGACATTTTGTAACCGAATTCAACACCGAAATGTAGTCAAATATCTCATAAGTTAAAAAAAACAATTAAATACCTACTGCTTTTTATAAAAATGTAGTTTATGCTAATTTTCCACAAATTTCTTGTTTAGCAGTTACTGCCTTTCTCCATAGTAGGGCAGTATAATACTTCTGTAGCGCCAATATTTGAAAAGACTATATAAAAGTTTGTACTGTCCTTTTGATTTATCCCCTTATGCCTTTTACCCACAGAAATATAGTATCGTGGTAAAATAATACCAAAGGTCAAAATTATTTTATTATCACAATTCAAAAATACAAAAGTATTAAATAGTTTTTCAACGCCAATATTTAAAAAGTTTCGCCGGCAGCAGGGTTCGGAAATATCATGATATTTATATAAATATCAAAATATCGGATATATATCGATATCCGATATATATCAACATCTTGATATATTTTTTTAAGGTTTTGGTCAAAAATTAATTATATTAGACATAATAAAAATGTTTTTAATAAATTTATTTAAAAAAGTAAACAAAAAATAAATTTATAACATAAAAATTATAACATTAAATTTTAATTAAAAAAAAAATTAATTAAAGGTTCATCATCATATCTTTTTCTTTGGCATTTTATTTTTATTACTTTTATCACTGCAATTATAACACAGCCCTACCATAGATTAAGAATATAAAACCAACACAATAAAACGGCCCGCAGTAAACTAGATTTGACTAAACTGATTAACCATTAAAATTAGTCCATTTTTCGGGGATAAATTTCGATTTACACATAAACATTTGAATTGTTACTCTATTATTTTATAGATGTCGCCCTATACTAAACTTTAATTTAAATCATTTTTAGATAAGTAATATTAAGTATTTGTCGTAGAAAACGTATAGTTATCAAACTTGATACATAATATACTATTAAACCTGAATATCACATAAATATTATATTTTATACGCATTTATTGCCTTTGGAATTTACATTGCATAATCTTTGTTTAATCCTGTACGTATTATAAATTGTAGAATGCAACATATTATATTTTAATTAAAGACTAAATGGAATCTAATCAGTAATAGCTTACTGTACTGTACTTTATCTTGCAACAATATATGTTTTATATAAATAGATTATTGGACTACTGTTCCAGAAAAGTATGTTTTTGGTATTTTTATTCATTTTTAATTTAAATTATGCCCTGCATATCTAAAAATAGATACTCACACGTACTGAGATCCTTTTATTAATAAATCTTAAGCAAAACTTTGCTTTGATTTCATCATTAGCCACGCACTATTGTAAACAAGCCGTTCTCTTCATTTCCTTAAAAAAAATATGCACATGCTTCATTTTTTATTTTCTAAATCGCAATGTGCATGTGCATATATACCTTTGTTTACCTTACAATAATTATTATTAACATAGTGATATAATTTATTGCATAGGTATGTATCTTTTGTGTAACAAATGGATTAATGTGTTCAATACTATTAAAATTGAAGAATCAAGGGTGAATTTTTCGAAATATTGAAGTAAATATTTATTTTGACAAAAGCTATTACATAATTATTTCTTCGTTTAAATATACCAATTAGATTTACAAATATTGTAAAATGTATATTCAAAAAAATTATGACATTGTTTGCTATGCCCATTTTTTTATTACAATCTATTGTGAAAGAAGAAAAAAATAATTAGGTATCTAATTTAAAAAATAAAATGTTTACCTTAAAATTTAATTATTTTGACAAATTTGTTTATTATTTTAAATCGAAAAAAAAAATATTTTATAATTATTTTACCGAGTTCGTTAACTTATGTTGCGAAATATTGTTTTTAAATCAGTATTGTCCGTTACTTAAAAATTATTAAAATTAGATTAATTAAGTCTGGCTTAAGCAAGCAGATTAATTTTGTTTATTAACTTTTAAATTGGATGGTTATCGATTTTAAATAAACAACAGTTATGGATGTATGTTTTTGTACAAAATACCTTTATTTTGACACGATTTTTGGCATATAACATAAAAATGAACTTTACAATTTAATTTAAACAGTTCTTCAAACGGTTTTATTTTGATTGATTACATATTAAAAGAATGGACACGTAATGCGCTTTTGTTGCGTATTGTTTAAAGCATGCCATGTGAGCCGCCAGTCTCAATTTTACAAGTTTGTTTTTACTTGAAAAAGAATTAAAAACACTGGTTTAATAATTAAAATACAATGGTGGTTAGTTCTGCATTTGGTTGTAAAAGTTAAACTGATTATAAATTTAACACCATGTATGCAAATAGGAAGCAAATTTGACCATGTTTTATTTGACAAGCCACCTTTATTTTTCGATAATTATATTTAGAATCCTGTAACTTTAGATCTACGAACTGTCATTTTAAAATTTTAATTATTTCTTCATTGAAACGTTTTATTACTTTTGTGTAGCTTGACATGAGAAATTCGGTCTCAAGGCGACTTATTTCAAAATTCCGAAAGTGTTCATCACGTTTTTAGAGTTTTTGTTGGAGATTCAGCGTCTATAAAAATAAAACAGGTATTTTTGTTCTGAAGAGTTGCATTAAAATAATTTGTAAATCCAGTTAAAGTATTGTCATCCTTTTTTGTCGAAAATATTCTGCAGGTTTTAGAACCAGGATTCGCCTTATTTAAGTAATGTTTCTACAGTAGGTTGATACAATAATTAAAGAATTCAATTAGGTTTTTTGTTGATCCTTGGGTCTTTCCATTTCTAAACTTATTATTTTTTTTATCATTATTACGGTGGTTCCGTTTCAATAGCACCTGTTTTTGGATAACACACATATTAGGAATTTGGAATCTTCTGGGAATTTCCTACAGCTAGCGTGTTCTCATATTTTTTACATTTTTTAATTTTTTGCTAAGGTCAACGATTGTATAAACTGTATAAACAAATCTTGTATTGTTAGATAGATGATTTAATAACGTGTTAAATATTCTTTTTCTATGTGTTAAATGATATACAGGGCTCTAAATTAAAAACCAGCCACCCTTATAAACTTCGAGTTATATGTAAATATGATCTCAAGCGAGATACAGGTCGATTCAGTAACAGTAAATCTAATTGTTTATCAAAAAATATAAATTAAAATTAAACATCTCAATTATTATTTATTAAAAAACTTGATTTATTAAAATGATATTTTATGTTACATAAGACTTTGTTTTGTTATTGTTTTTTAACCAATTATAATTAAA